GTAGTGCTACTAAAGCTGTAGCAATGTTAAGCCTATCTTTGCATTTGTTAGTCATAATTTAATATATTTATAATTTATGTGTTCTATAATGCAGCCCCAGCAGTCTGTGGTGATAGCAGGACAAGATCCACTGACTGCCAGTATGTTGGCTGCAGCTCCACCGCAGGAGCGGAAGCAAATGCTGGGTAACAGGCTCTTCCCGCTGATCCAGCACATGTACCCAGAACTGGCTGAAAAGATCACCGGCATGCTCTTGGAGATGGACAACTCCGATCTGCTCCACATGTTGGAGTCCCAGGAGTCTCTTGAACTCAAGGTAAGCACAAACATTTAACATTATAGATTTATTGTTCTTGCCTTTCTGTGTGGTGGAAAGGGGGTGGCGCTGAATAATGAGAGTGGGGAGAAGTCAACAAAATCTGCATGCAAATCTGCTAAATCTGTCAAATGGGTGTCCTTGCAAAAATTCAAGCAGCTGGTGAACATGTTACATGATTTTTTTTTCTGATTACAACACTGATCTGGTTCGCTGTAGTACATTGTACTACACAGTACTACACAGTACATGGTAGGCAAACAGTTGGGTACATTTTCTAGTCAGGTAAGAATGACCTCATTGTCCTCTTGATAATGCTTGTTTCTAAGATTTCTGTCCACACTATGCCATCACAGTTAGGAGCTTGCCATGACGTCCATGCTGAAGTATAGTCGTTACAAGTTTGCCCTCACAACCACATGTTATATCATACAATTGTTACGAGCTTGCCTCCACAACCACAGTATACTGTCACAGTTGTTACAAGCTTGCCCTCACAACCACACTATACTGTCACAATTGTTACAAGCTTGCCTCCACAACCACAGTATACTGTCACAGTTGTTACGAGCTTGCCATGACAACCACACTATACTGTCAACAGTTGTTAAGAGCTTGCCATGACAACCACACTATACTGTCACACAGTTTTTAAGAGCTTGCCCTGACAACCACACTCTAGCAAGTTTTTGTGTGTTGCAGGTGGAGGAAGCTGTTGCTGTACTGCAGGCTCACCACCAAGCCAAAGAGTCTGCTACCATGAAAGGTAAATAACGAGTCGACTAATTGGGAAGCAAAGCACCAACGCATGTGGTAAGAAGCATGGTCAAAAATTGCAATTTCTCTGCCTATATTTACCGTGTCGGCTCTGTGGCTAAGTCCATGCGAACGCTGCGTAATGCCGGGATGCTGGGTTCGATCTCAGCTGCGGGCCATGCGCCTTGCATTGGTTTTGATAGTGGTATCAAGAAAGCCGACCGTCCAGCAAGCAATGGCAAACTACTGGACGTGAATTTGCCTGGGGGGATGTCTTTGCTTTCAGCCTGAGGATTTAATGCACATGGCTCTATCGCCACGCACCGTGCAGATGAGGATTTTATTTTGCCCCGACAGGGAAAAACAAAGTGCTTTATTATTATTCTACCCCTGTTGAGTCACAGGACAGTCCAACAGTTTAGATGGTGGTAAGACTGGGTTTCCCGGCTTTCTAATGCTTTTAACGACTCTAAAACATTTAGAACTTGCCCTAACCGCAACCGTCCTAAGTACCACGAGAGAAAGTGTAGCCTAGGTCCCACGACTGTGTGCAGTCTAGGTCCTACGACTGCATACAACCAATCTACCACCCCCTGAAATACTAGACTGCCCTGTGACCTGTGTATTTCCCCCGTTTAGGGTAATATATTAATAAAGCACCGCAGATTACCCAACCATGCCAACGACTTGAACCTGTGTCTCCCAAAGGAGCATGGGCAAAGCAGATATCATTAACACCACACCGCCCGGGTTAGTGGATGAAGACGAAAAGCTGACACTAACACGATTGAGTAACCTGGGAGTAAAGCACGGTGAAGCACGAAATGTCACCTTCGAGGTCGAGATAGGAGAACCAACTTCTAATGGGAACAATCGGTAGCGGTGCCTTGGCGTGGCTGCTGTTTCGGAGGACTGAGCACGTATGGGAATGCACGATGTGCAGTGAAGTCGATCTTGAAACATAAAATAACATATTAAAGACGGGATTCCTCCTTCAGCTTCGAGCGGAAAGCTCTGGTTGTTCGTCCATCTTTGTACTGACTTGTTCCAGAACAAGAGTGTTTGTTACATGCACTTCCATTTTACTGATCTGACTTTTTGTATGCAGACTGTTGGTTCCTTGTCTCTCAGGCAGATGCACTCTGACTTCAAAGGAAGCTCCCCTAATTAGTCGACTCTTACGACATGCTTGTTGGGGAGGCAGTGAGTTCATTCTTGTTTTCCCCCACAGAGACATGGGAATTCACATGGGGAAGTCGGGATTCCATTTCCTGCTCCTATTTTTGGATTCGTTGACCCCATTACGTGATTCTAGGAAATCCCACCTCCAAAACAGCCAGCTTTTGTTTTGTTTTGACTGGAAATGACTACAGACGCCCTGCTCTTTCAGTCGAATTTGTTTCTGCTGCTTGTAAAATCTACGAAAGCGCATTGTCAGGTAAATACTGCAGAAACACGCTGTAATGTATTTTACGAATGCACCAGTATGAATTTTAATATTTATCGTTACAGTTTATTAATATTACACCAACAACAACCGTCAAGTTGGATATCATACAGATGTAAATGAAATTATTGTTATTTTTTAAATCATAAATATTATTAAAATGCTATATTTTACATTATGCTGGTTACCTGTTTTTCTGACGCTATACCTTACAAGGCATATACCAGAAGGGGAGAGGGACGTAGAGCAAGAGGTAGACCAAAAACAAGTTGGGAAGAAAACATCAGAGAAACTCTACAGCACCAGGATGTGTCTGTGGTCCAAGCATCCAGAAGAGCACGAAGTAGGACCTTATATCTTCCTCCACAGCACCAGGATGTGTCTGTGGTTGAAGCATCCAAAAGAGCACGAAGTAGGACCTTATATCTCCCTCCACAGCACCAGGATGTGTCTGTGGTCCAAGCATCCAGAAGAGCACGAAGTAGGACCTTATATCTTCCTCCACAGCACCAGGATGTGTCTGTGGTCCAAGCATCCAAAAGAGCACGAAGCAGGACCTTATATCTCCCTCCACACTTGAAGTGGTAAAAAAGGACATGGAGACGACCTCTACATTCATGGGCCCTATTGTAGGGGAACAATAATAGACGCACTGCCTCCCCAACAACATGTCGTAGGATATAACTAACTAGGGGCTTTCTTTGAGGTTGAGCTGCATCTGCCAGAGGTATAAAACTGATGTGGACGCAACACTTAGGTTCTGGAACAAAACTAAAGTCCGGAGGTGGATGAACAACCAGAACTTTTCTACGGAGTTTACAGCTGGTGAACGCAAAATCTTCTCCTAGTAGTGACAGTGGTAATTAGCAAGGAAGTTGGACTTGTAAGGAAGTGTTCTGCTAGATGACTGTTTGGATGAAAGGATAAGCTTGACAGTTTAAAAGGTTTTTTTTCATACACGGTTACACGTTGATCAAGGCAAAACATTTGGCCAAGAGAAACATCGGTGCAAGTCAAACTTTACGGGTCGCTGAGTAAATTACAGAAGACAGTGAAGTTTATACTGGGGACAACATTGCAAATATAGAGAATTTATTTAAAGCAAACGATAGAAGAAGAAAGACGGTTACACCTTGGGATGAATGATATCTTGAATGTCTGTAATGAAAGCATCTGTCAGCTTGTGATATTTTGGTTGTACATCTTCATAGCGTTTGCTTTCACTTTGAAATGTACCGTAAAGGCAGGGCAGCTATTTTCTCAGAGACACAGGTATGACAATGACCTCCTGTCACAAGGGATTAGGGATTAGAACAGTTTCAGAACGAACCCCAGCGTTGTTTTTTTGTTGTTTGTTTTTGTCATTTCACTGTACAGTGATTATGTTCAATAGTTTGCCATTGCTTTCTAAATGGCTGACTCTCAATGCCACTATCAAAACCAATGTGAGGCTGTCTGCTGCCAAATCGCCCATAGGTGGGTTCGAACCCAAAACCTTAAAATTATAAAGCATATTCGCAACACCGAAGCCACAAAGCAGAGAAATAGTTAAATAATCTACTTCTAAACTGAGAAGAAATGTTCACAGAATAAACACAGACTATCAACCAAAGATAACACACACCGATTAAGAAACTGAAACTGCCATAAATTGTTGAATATCTTATTTGTGTTATCAGCAGCAATGAAGACTGTTTATAAGTGCATCTGTGAAATGGCTTTCAAATTCTGTGGCACAACACCAGGAAATTGAGAACATACACTGTTCTTGTGGGGCAGTACACATATACATACACACACACACACATGCGTGCATGCAAACTCACACACACACGTGTACACGCACATACATGAGGCATGGACCATTTTACAATCACTGAAGCAGAAAAGGATCCTCACATTCTAGGTTAGATTTCTGTGGTATGTAGTTGAAAAAAAAAAACCCAGACATTCTGGCAGTTTTAAGACAATGGTATGAGAATCACACCATGGAAGAGATTAGAGCATCACCACATAGTATTCCAAAGACAGCAACGGAACACTGAAGTCTCCGCGGGTGGTTACAGGACCCCACTTTGGGGTGGGGAAAAATTACCCCCTTCACTCCAAACACCTCAACAAGCATGTCCCAAAAGGCAACTAATTAGAGGTTTTTTTTAAGAGTGCGTCTGCCTGAGATGCGAGGAACCAGCAGTCTGCATAGATATAAGCATCATCTCTAAAACACATGTGCACACAGAACTCAAGTTCTATTTTCAGAATGAACAATAATGGAAGGCATGATAGATGTTATTGTCAGAAAGAGAAGATTAAATCAAATGGCATGTCAGTGAAACAAATATTGAAGAAGACTGGCTCATAATTAGCACTGTGCCGCAGAAACTAAAATGCTTAAGCTGTATTTAATGTTTCAATGGTTTAGAATGAACAATAATAGGAGGCATGACGGATTTTATTTTCAGATACAGAAGATTCATTAAAATGGCAAGTCAGTGGAACCAGCAAAGGGAATGGGAGTTGGCAAAAGTGAGGATGTTGATGGATGACTTTGATAGGGACATCTTTTTGGATGAGACAGGTGACTTCAAATCCACTAATCCAGATGTGAAAGCTGTTATCCAGTGTGATGATGCTAATCATCTGGGAAATGTAAGTAGTTTGATTTAGCATTTAAGATTTATCACTAGGGCTTGTTTTAGGAAGAAGTGCAGGTACTCACCTTAAAGTGACCTAAAAAGGTGCCGGTACAGTGTACCATTGCATATTGGTTAAAAAAAGCCTTGTTTATTACAGACGAGGAAATGAAGCTGAGGTAGCACAACTGGTAAACTGAGGGTTGCGTTAGAAAATCCACATCAAGTTGGATTTTTTGGAATTCCTCGTCTTTTTCTTCTTCACATTCACCAGCTGTAAACTCCAACGGAAGAGTTATGGTTGTTCATCCACTTCTAGACTTTAGTCTTGTTCCAGAACTTGAGTTTTGTATGCACCTCAGTTTGACAGATTTGGCTTATTTGTATGCAGACTGTTGGTTCTTCACCTCTCATTGGAAGAAAACACCCTTAATTATTTAATTTTTATGATATGCTAATAGGGTCTCTTCTTTCAACCCCAAAATGGGACCTGGAACCCACACAGGAAGTATCTTTGGAAATAAAGTTGGCCACATCATGTTGACCACATCGTCTATAGACTTTCAATTGGTCTATAAAAATATGGCTCTAGCACCATATGCCCAGTGTGCTTATAGGGCAGAAGGGTCCTTAACTTTTACTTCTTTCTTCTTTTCTCTACTCCTGGAATGCTTTGCGGCGGTAGGGCAGGAAGCAATCTCTGGAATGGACTCTTCTGTTTGCTTCAGATAAAATACTTTCAGTATCTGCAATATTTCTGTGGTCCATATTCTGCATAGTCGACCTCTTGTTCTGTTACTGCTGTACTTGTATAGCATTGCTCTCTGTCGTGCCCTGTCTGATGCCAATCCATTTAACTTCTACTAAACAATGAAACTGACACTTTTAAATCTTAAAAAAAAAAAGAACACTCCATCTAGGGAGGAATTTTAAAAAAACCTGTTCCCTAAATTGACCCAGTCAATAATGGGCACTAGCAGGGCATTTGTTTCTCTGGTGGCATGCAAGCTGTTGTGGTAGACATTCTTTGGTGTGTACCAGTGCCTTTTTTAGACTCCTTGTGGTGTCGTCCTTTTTAGGACGAAATTTTTTGTTATTTGAAGCCCCACCCTGACTTTTGCCAGGGGCCGCAATATAGGCAGGCCATAAATATGGCCAATAGTCTGAACGCGGTTTCTGGGACCTCTCCACGGCGATCCTCATCCACATGGTGGCACTTTGTGTCATTGGGTGTTTATCACTTGTGTGATGTCCTAGTGGGGTAGAAAGTCAGTCAGTCAGTCAGTACCATCGCCTTCGTTTTTATAGAAAAAAAAGGACTGGGTACTAGGAAATATCCTGTTAAGTATAAGTGCCTGGTGTGATACTGAGCACTCATCCAGTGTTCATTAGCCTATTAAATAAGACTGAATCAGAGTAGATGCATGTTATATTTTAATAAGTTCGTCTATTGCCTTGTTTTTACTGTCCCATGTAGTGAAGAATGTTAAAGATGGCGACGTAAACAGTGTGTGTTATTCAACGGATGTGTAATTTTTCAGTGTTCTCGATGTGATTTACGTGTTTTCCAGTGTTCTTTTAAGGATGAATCTGTGTCAGGTCCAGCAAATCGGCAGTGGATTTAAGAGTTCACAAAAATCTGCTCTAGAAACAATATATGAGATTAGAAAATCCATCAAACGTAACAACAATCAGGGCTCGAGAACAGGTCAGCCATCTCTCACTCATTGTAAAAGTGAAAGCGCCATTAGAACAAGAGCTGGCATCACAGACTGGTTCCCAGTAACATCACGAGTAAGACAAGGTTGTCTATTATCACCTTTACTTTTCATAATATTTATGGACAATATTAATAAAATAGACATAACACCAACAGATGTCGATAAACAGGAGGACTTCAATGAGCTGCTCTTTGCCGACGATCAATGCCTATTTCACAGTGATAGTAAACAGCTGCAAGACCACATAAACCTACTACATGACAGTTGCCTCAAGCATCATATGAAGATCAATACTGAAAAGACAGAAGTCATGAGCATAAGTAGAGAGCAACAGACCATCGACATAAAGATTCTAGATCACAGCCTAAAACAAGTGCAAGAATTTAAATACTTGGGAAGTATCTTTACATTCAATGGTAAAATAGGCAGAGAGATCGAAGCAAGAAGCCAACAATGTCGCATACCAGCTTGCCCCAATTTTAAAACACCCTGCTGTCCCAGTTGAGATAAAAAGACAAATTATAAATCCAATCTTTATACCGACATTAGGTTATCAATGTCAGACTTGGACATTAATAAAAGAACACGAGAGAAGACTAACCACCTGTGAAATGAGATGTTTGAGAATGGCTGCGAATAAAACCAGAAGAGATCGAGTGAGAAACAATGTGATTACAAGAACTATTGGAACCATACCCATCGTTAAATTTATTGAGAAGCAAAGAATGAAATGGTTTGGTCACCTAATGAGAATGGAACCAACGATGCCAGCATCAAGAGTATACAACATGAAAATCGAAACACCAAGAGGCAGGGGAAGACCAAGAAGAAGATGGATTGAAGGAGTCATGGACAACTTGAGACTTCATTACATCACGGCATATGAAGCGACTGAGCGCGCCCTGGCTCGGTTGCCGATCATCTGATAGACTGCGACGCCTAGCGGCACAAGCAGATTTTGACAAAAGAAGAAGAAGAGGATGTAGTGGAATGAGGACAGCTGCTAGGCTTAAATTATTTATGAGAATCTGAATAGTTGATATCAATTTTTAATTGTAATATGTGTATGGTTAATCAAGCCCATAATCGAGGCAAACTTGCAGTTTGTCTGAAGTGTGCCGAATGAAGAAAGCATAACAATTGTGAGTAGAGTTTTTGAGTGAACAAGAAGAGATGATTTAAGCAAATGAGAAAAGCTCAGTCCTGTTTTCGATCCAGGAAGAGAGTGGTCTTGTGCGGCTCTAAATGCCTGGGATAAATTCATCTTAAGATCATGTAAATGCAATTGAGCCATCAGCCCATTCCTGAGATGAAACCTGGCTGATTTTATTGATTTGATTTGATTCAAGAACCGACATCACAGCACTCGGGGCATTCCCATAAGCACTCCATCCCCATCTTCAGCAGCCAGCGAAAAGTTCCGATACTAATTGTGCCAGTAGCATTCTGATCAAACACCTGTCTTGCCTTTCCTCTGAACCTCGAGCATCTGCCAAAACCTCTCGTCACCCCCAACTGCATTAATCTCACCAGACTGTGGTGATCCATCTGCTCCTCCGAACTGTGCACACTCTCTCACAAGGCACTAACCACGTCTGCCTTGTCATACATCAGTATTCCACCAAGTTGCGCAGAGCCAGCCAGTCTGTCCGACTGTTCATTTCCCAACACACCGGCATGCTCTGGTGAAAAAATCCAGACAATACTCCTCACCCGTGACCTCTGCAGCGAGGTATGCCACTCTGAACGAAGCATGCCTGTCCTGATCTTCCTTAGCATTATCTTGAATTATTTGCTGAATTTCCACCTCTGTGGCACCTGCTGGCCAGTCTCTGCATAAAACCTGGCTAAGGCTGTATGACAGTTTGAAATAGAGGAAGTATTTCTGCTGTGAGATGTGGTTTCATTGAATGAAGTTTTTGGTAATCTAGAAGTGCAAATACAGTGAGAGTGCTGAATGTGAGGATCAAATCAGGGTCAGGGTAACAGTAGTCAATATAATGTGTGATGCAGTAGTGATTCCATAGACAACAAACCTCTGGTACATTATATTGATCAAGAGGAATTTCATTGAAGTAATAAACATTCTGTTGTCAACTCATTAGTGTTTTCCACATCTGTTCCTGTTCAAGATCGGCTGTGTGGAAATGTCTATCAATGTGCTTGAGCAGGCTGCATGATTAGAGCCCAGAGAATCATTGAAGTAAATAAATGTGATGCAGTTTGGGTCTGTGAAGTCCCTGTGTACAGGGCCCCATTTTGAGGGAAAAAAGGCCCTTAATAAGCATGATGCAAAAGAGAAATTATTAATGGTTTGCTGAAATAGCATATGTTTTGCCAAATGGCACATATATTGCGGTCTAGCTGTAAACCACAACACAACATCAAAACCACTGTCTTAATGGTAAACACTGAAGGAGAAGATATTTTTATCAGAACTTGCTTTAATACTTTATTTGTAGGTTAACAGTAAAATGGAAAATAGACACATAAATGGGAAAAGATGCTGTTTATTAGCCAATCTTCCTTATTGTTCAGATCTTTTAGGATGTCAGTATTTCTTTTCTTCTTTGTCCACGGTATTCTGAGAATCTTTCTATAGCATTTCAGCTCAAAAACTCCTATTTTCTTCCTCAATGACTGCAAGATAGTCTACGACTCACATCCCTGTGTTGCTACAGGGAAAATGCATGTTCTAAAAATTTTGACTTTTATTTCCTTGCTGGTACCTAGCCATAGTCCTTTATTGTTGCTTAATCTTCCTATTAGTCAGATTTCCGAACCAATACACAAATAAGGCAAGAATCCAGGCAAGAGTATGTGTCAAATTTTATACGAAAACGCCGCTGGAACTATGTCGGCCACGCCCTTAGAATGGATAAATCAAGACTTCCTTACCAAGCCCTCATCTGGACACCACAGGGGAAAAGATCTCGTGGAAGACCAAGGGAAACCCTACGTAGAACTATCATCAGGGAAGGCTCGCTCATGGGCCACTCAAACATCCAAGACCTACAACGGATTGCAACGGACCGCCGTGCATGGAGAGTCACGACCTCTGCCCTATGTGCCGCACTCGACACAAGAGGAAAGACTAACTTAATCTTCCTATTCCTGTGGCCACCCTCCTTTTGACTGTTGTTGAACAGTCTCCATTGCTGTTTATTATGTAGCCTAGATATTCACTGTTTGGATGTCACTAGTCAACAGTTTGTTTATAAAGTTTTGTGTGTATGAAATGATATAGGCTGCCCAGAAGCAACAACATGACAATCTAGAAACAATTCACGGCTTCAACACAGAAGGTGAGTGACCAACCCACTAACTTCAGATTTTTCACTTGTGGGTTTTGGGGCACTATTTTTGGGGGTTAAAAGGATTGACACAATGCCCCCTTCTTCTTATTCTTTCTTTTTCTTGTTCCTGTTCTTGTTCTTGTTGTTCTTCTTCTTTCTTTAGTGATCAGTGGTTGCTATGCATCTATTTCAATATGGATCATAAACAGGATGGTTTGCTTGGGATCTTAACGGTGCACCATGGTATATCTTGTAGGGATGCTCCTGTGGGCCCAGTTTCTTTTCTCCAAAGGCAGAGTCGAATGCTCCCTAACAAGCATGTCATAAAAGGCGACTAATTAGGGATTTGCTGAAGTCAGATGCCTTGCAACAAAAAGTTCAGATTTGACTTTGATATGCAGTCTAGCTGTAAACCACAATACAGTGTACCATCTGCTCTTTTAAGGGTGTAGAACGACCACATATTTACATTTTAAATCACAGTCATTTGCCAGTTAAGCTTTTCTTTCTTTAAGAATATTCTTCTTCTTCTTCTTTGTGTTTACTGGCTGTAAACACTGGTGGGAAATCTGGTTGTTTGTTGACTTCTGGAATTTGGTCCTGTTCCAGAACTTAAGTTTTACATGCACATCTGTTTACAGGTCTGGCTTTGATTTTTTTTGTCTGCAGACTTCTGGTTTCTCATCTCTCGTTCAGATACATTCTGACTTCGAAGGAAGCATCCATAATTAGTCGACTTCTATTAAATGCTTGTTAGGAAACAGAGAGACATTTTGTAAAAAAATTTTTTTTTAAAAATTGCCTCTGCAATGGAACCCTGAAATGGACACACGAGTAAATAAGTAAATTTAAAGACCAGTTTTAATTTCTTCCAGCTTATTTAGCATATGGTACTAGACCTTTTAATTGACCAGTAGACACTTGATACATAGAAATTACCTCAAGATCTGCCAGAGCTAATCAAGTAATGTAGGAAACTACTTTGCTTGTTGACACACAAGCATTAGCGTTAGTGTAGTTGATAGGAGACTCGCTTTCAAATCCAGCTGCGACTCGCTGCAGCTCACGGCCGGTGTTCGAAACTGGGCGGATCCCGGGGTTCACCCAGCCTCTAGGTAATGGGTACCAGAGTTAACACTCTGGGGTAAATCCAGGAACGTCGCTGTAGCTACCAAGTTGCATGCATACGGCAACACAGGTGGACAATTTCTTATCAGCTGTCCGTACTGGTGGCAGAGCACTTATTGTTTATAAGTGATGCTGGTTCAAATCTCACAACTTTCCTTTTTTTTTTTTCACACAAGCAATTACCCTGAGGTACTAAAGTGAATCTTATTAGAACTATTTTTTGGCCAACACCATGCTATCAGTGCCAGATGTGGACACTTACATTCTCAAATGAACGTAAAATTGTGACAACAGAGATGAAACGCCTTTGAAGAGCTGCAGGAGTTTCAAGGAAAGACAGAATACGAAATCACAAAATCAGACGAATGCTAGGAATAAAGCCAGTTTTATCAGTCATCAAAGAACAACAAATGAAGTGGTTTGGACACCTAACAAGAATGCCCTGGTACTATCTGCCATAGCGAGCCACACTAAAACGTTACAACGGGTATAGAGCGAGTGGAAGACCTAGGAAAATAAGGAGTGATGGCATTAAGAACAGCCTTACAGAAATGAACTCAGTCTTAATTGTGCTCTTGAGAGAGCTGATCAACGAACGTTACATCCCCCCCCCCCCCCAACATTTTGCTGAGGTACAAGGTGGAAGAGAAGAAGAAGAAGACACTTGATGAGGGATGATGTCAGTGTTACATCCTTACCTTTCATAAGATTTTCTGGTATCCATTTTCAGGTTGGGTTGATCTGAGAGGCAAAGAAATAAGAGAAATGTGTGAACAGCTACTTGTGTCAAGTTCTTGGAGAAAAAAAAAGATGGCAATATATTGAGCACGTCACGAAGAGAAGCAGACAGAGAATCACTAACAGGATTGAAATGGGAAACAAATGGATTGCCTGTACAAGCTTCAAGAACTGGAACACATTTTTTCACTAGTTTTCATAAGGGGCAGACCAGGAAATTTTATGTGATTTCCACTAGGACAGGAGTGGAGCAGTGATGGCGAGACCCATCCGCAGTGAAATTAGAACCTCGAGTAATTGACAGATGAATTGTGGAAAACGAGGACGCTCAAGAGACACCCTAAGGTGAACATTATTGAGAGAGGCCAAAGGTGGGGAACTGCATTCCATCCATGATATTGAGAAATATTTGCTGCATGACTCTTTCTTCCCCGTGAGTCGCAACCATCCTGAAATGTATTCTCTTTTTTTCTTTATTGATCACAGCATACCAAACGACACTGGCTTTCATAGTGACTACTTCAACTGTGTATCTAGGGTCTTTTTGGTAATGGTTATTATTCTGCCCATTTAGCATTTGCTAGGAAACCTGCTGGGAACGATGGAGTAGCCCTATGTAGTCTTTATGCCAAGTTAGTGATTCTTGTATAGAATGTATCAGTTAGAATTACATGTTTTACTGGAGTAATTTAATGAAAGGTTTTCTAATGTAGAATGAATTAGAGCATGATTTTTTTCACAGATTTGATTGAGCTTCAGAATATTAAACTGATAGATGACATTCCAAAGCCTTCAGAGATCCAAGTAGACAAAAATACTGTTAGTTCAAAGTGAGTACAATGTTTTTCTTTTCTTCCTCCATTTACTTCGTCAGAGTGTTGGAGGGAGATATACGGATCTGTGTGCTTTTTAATATGTTGTAAAAGTTGATCTTTGTTTCTGGAGGGCTATTCTTGATCAAGTCGTTCCGGGGCTCCACTGTGGGGAAGACAAGAATAGACCCACTGCCTCCCCAACAAGCATGTCGTAAGAGGAGGCTTCTTTCGAAGTCAGAGTGCATCAGTCTAAGAGCAGTCTGCATACAAATAAGTCAGAACTGTAAAACTGATGTGCATGCAACATTTAGGTTCAGGAACAAGACTTAAGTCCAGAGGTCCACGAGCAAACAGAAATTTCCGCTAAGTGTACAGCTGTTGAAGACAAAGAAGAAGAGGAAGAAGATGCAGTCATTCCATTTATCCCCCTCCTGTGTTCATTATAATTCTTCAGTGTCTCTCTCTCTCTCTGCGGCACTTAATATCAGGGTAGTCTCATTAGATGACCCAAATCGTCTCAACTCTTGCTCCTCATTGAGCTTCTTCTTATGCCTTTCTATCCCCCAATGGATTATAGGCCCTCAACAAACTCATGCTAAGTTGTTCTATCCTTCACTATTGCATAGAGCTCTCCCCATGTCCTCCCTATCTTTTTAACTTCATTTTTCAGCTTTTTTGACCTTCCTTTATTTTTATGCTCCTGTGGGTTCCAATGCAAAGACATTCTGAGTTATGCTGTTCTCCGGTTTTCTCAATGTGTGTCCTATCCAATGCCAGCGTCCTTTCCTCACCTCTTGGTCCACTGGAGCTTGCTTAATTCTTGTCCAAAGCTCTACATTAGTTACTCTATCATACCATTTAATTCCCTCTATTCAGCGCAGGCACCAGTTAATGAATGTCTGGAATTTATTAGTAATTGCCTTAGTTGTTCTCCATGTTTCCGCCCCATTTAAAAGTACCTCTTCTTCCGCCCCATAAATAAAATCTATATCTGCAAAAGCTGTGTATGATTAGAATTCACTAAGCAAAAGTTTGACTTCCAAAAGGTTTTGCCTGAAAGCGTCGAATCTGGGAGAGTCTTGAAGGATTGATCTTTTGTTTCAGGTGCCAGTCCACAAGTATTCCAATCTTAAATTTGTTGTACATGTAAGCTCCTGTGCCCTTGTTCCTTTGCTATTCTTCCATAATATGGTAATCATCTCTATCAGTCTGATTGATTTGATCATTCTCTCTTTATTGATAAGAGACTGGTATGTCACTGTTCCAGTTGCAAATTAGGTTTATCAGCTCTTTCGTTTCCGGGAACTCCACAGTGGGAAGGTATCTTGGAGTACTAGTTTACAGCGGTGGTTCGCCCGTATCCTTGGTAATTTTCCAGACTAAGGCAACAAAAGTACTGATTTGACTTACAATTATTTGAAGTTTAGCCTTTCTTGTAACTTACCTCCACAAATTCCCTTGTGCTATTATCCTCTTGCCCTTGTATTCTTGTTTTAATTTCCCCCATCTTTATCTACATTACTTCCAAATAGGTGTTGACTCCACTCTTGGAGTGGGGTGCCATTAAGAGTAACAACATTGGCATCTTCTCATCTTTGTCTTTCCTTTATGGATTTTCACACTTAGCTGCTGTGATCTTGCATCAAGTATATTAAATTTATCTTGTATCTGATTCCGTGAATGGGACAGAAGAGCAAATATCATCAGCGAAGTCCAGATCATCAAGCTGTTTTGTAGGGGTGCACTGAATTCCATTCTTGGTCTTAGCAGTTACTGTCTTCATAATCCTTAATGAACTATTAGGTAATAAACATATGAAAAAGTGGTCCTATTGTAACACTTTGAGATGTATTGGGCATATGATGTCATCCTATATTTTTGTAGACCACATGGTACTCCATGGGCGATGTGACCAATATCCTGACAATTGGTTTTTGAATTCCTAGATCTGGTTCTGCCACTCGTTTTATGGTCGGTCAGTCTGGGAGTGCAAACAAGTTTTAAAAATTCACCTAAACTTTTTTAGTACCAAGCAGCTCACCATGAGTTTGCTGGTTACTCTTTACATGATATGCTTTTAGTTAACTCCTCAAGTCTCATCCATTGAGTACATTACCGCATTCTATCGTAATCTTTTCTGTAACTTACTTTGTTCTGTTGTCTTATTATTTGAACCCATTTAGACCCAGACGTGTCTTACTTTGAGTAACAAATTTATTGAATATAACGAGTTCAGAGTATGTTTTAGGAGTCTACTAATTGGGGGACTTCCTCTGAAGTCAGAGTGTATCTGCCTGAGCGGCAAGGAACAACCAACTGCACACAAATAAGCCAGTAAAATAGATAAACACTCAAAACACAGATCCTAGCACAAAGCCAAAGTCCAAATGGACGAACAGCCAGGACTTTCCACCGGAGCTTACAGCCCGTGAACAAAGAAGAAGAATATAATGAGTTAAATTAATGTCTGCATGGGACTGAAAGAGTTAATGGGGTCTTCTTTTCAAAATACAAATAAGCTTGCTTTTAAAAAAAAAAAGATATTCTTATTTTTCTTCACATTCACAGGCTGTAAACTCTGGTGGAAGGTTCTGGTTGTTTGTCAACTTCTAGACTTTGGTCTCATTCCAGAAATTGAGTTTTGTGTGCACAGCTGTTTCACAGATCTGTTTATTTGTGTGCTACTGTTTGTTCATCGCCTCTCAGGCAGATGCACTCTGACTTCGAAGGAAACACCCATTATTAGTAGGCTTTTATGACATGCTTGTTTTGGGGGCAGTGGGTCAGTTCTCCCCCAGCACCAGAATGGGACCCCAGAACCCACAAAGGGGGTGTTATGTATTGGCTAACCAACAAACTTATGGTGAGTTACTTGGTACAGAAAGAAGTTTAGCCAGCCAACCCCACTCACCCACCAGTGGTCAGTTGGGAGATGGGCTAGCGGTTGTAAGATGATACACAAACAACCACGATTTACTGAAGTAAAACTAATGAGACATCTCACAGAAACGATCTGTGGACATTTAACATAGACATTCGGCTGCCAAATCATCCAACATGGAGAAATTCTGTCTCCTCATTCCCACAGTTTTTTCCAAACCTAGAAAATTATAAATTGATCACTGCTTTATAGTTAGTTGTCTTCTTCTTCTTTGCGTTCACCACTCCGACTTCAAAGGAAGCTCCCCAATTAGTCGACTCTTACGACATGCTTTTGGGGAGGCAGTGGGTCTATTCTTGTTTTCCCCTACAATGGGGCCCTGTAACCCACACGGGGGCCCCGGAACCCACACTGGGGATAGTTAGTTGTAAAGTAGTTTATCTTTGTTCTGTTGTGCTATTATATGTCACATAGGGCTCACAGTCTATTTCTCTATGACATTCTATCCTGTGTAATCTCTTCGACATCATGGATAGAATCCAGTCCAGTACCTTTGGCCTCTCTCATCAGCATTCGTTTTAGGGTTTCTTTTTGAGTGTCCTCACTTTATCGATCCCTCCATTTCCCATTTTAGTGTTTGATGATTCTGAGCTCGCTTCTTCTCGGGATGTGTCCAGTATAGTGCCATCTTCTTTGTCATTTAAGTATTATTATCAGTGGTTCTTCTTCTTAACCCTTCCCCTTTTAACGCTTCAGGTGTCGAGGGAGATATAAGATCCTGCTTCATGCTTTTCTGGCTGCTTTGACCAAAAACACATCGTGGTACTGTAGTCTCTCTGATGTTATCCTTCCATCTTGTTCTTGGTATACCTCTAGCTCTACGTCCCTCTCCTATTTTGGTATATGCCTTGAATAGTTCAGCATCAGAAGGCACTCTCTCCAAGTAGGCAAACCATTTGATTTGCTGTCTTTCTATGTAATTTAGAATTAGTTCTGTGCCGACTTAATCTCGTATGACCTGATTCCTGATTTTATCTCTTCTGGTCACTCCTACAGCTTTTTTCAGACACCTCATTTCCATGGTTATTAATTTTCTTTTATGTTTTGTTGTGAGTGACCATGTCTGGCACTGGTATCATAAGGTGGGAATGAATATGCTTTGTCTGAGATGTCTATTATCAGTGGTTGCCCAGACATTTCTCTTATTTCTTTACCCCTCTTGAATTGTTTGTGTTCAACATTTTCCTGAGGCATTTGTTTCCAAATGCATTTAACTTTTGTGCCGTGTCTTTAGTGGTCACTTAGTAGTTTAGTCTAAAGTAATTACTTTATTTAATTTATTTTCACTTCAACTTTTTAGTATTAGACCTACTGGACCGCAGCCGCGAAATGAAGAACGAATGAGTCGTCCAGCAGACACATACAGAGAACACAAGTACCATGCCAAAAACTTCAGAGGTGCAGGACAGCCAACCAGGCAACCTCTGCAGCAGCAAAGAATCCCTCAGGCTCAGGGTTTAATCAGCAGACCTCCACCACCATTCCAAGTACCTTACTGGTCACCCACACGGCCACCACCACCATTCTGTAACCGGTCTCAGTTTCCTGCTGCTCCGCCACTTGTAAATCCTAACTTGGGGTACAGATATCCTCATCGTGGATCTTTTCAGAATGGCCCAGTATCTACCAGAGCTGTCAACCCACAGAACTTTCAGAGGGCATCGAGACCTAATGGTCAGAGATTCCATTCAGCTACTAAAAGTTTTCATTCGACAAATGAGTTTCAAAAATACAAATAAGCTTGCTTCATTTATTGTTGACACCTTTCAGTCTTTCCAGAGGATAGTGTTCTATTGTGCTGTTTTAAATTTACTTTATTTATACAGCATTTTGGCTTCGGGGTTAGTGATTATATTTAACAGTTTCATGATCCTCGAGTACTAGGGGCATTGGACAGTTTATTTTAAAAAAACCTTATTTCTCATGGTTTCCTGAAAATGTACGAGAGCTGCATCATGAAAGAGATTGGGGCCTTACCATGTAACATTCTTAAGGATAGCAATGAGTGCACTGCAGTCAACCTTCATTATGGAGAATTTTATAGGATTTTAACTTTAACACAACCACTGGTATTCATTGTTTATTTTCACCTTTAAAAAAAAAAATCAAACTGGTTCAGGTAACAAATATGCAGAGTCGAGGATTTCAAATTGTGTGGTGTAGAAATATTGAGTTCATTGAAAAGCTGCTTGGATAAAACAACCAAGATATCATGCTGTATAAATGACTGCAAGATCTGTAGATAAAAATGCTGTACGCACCATATTTTTCTGTGTTTAAGGCAGTACGTTTTCCCAGAGTTTTAAGTTTAAAACTGGTCCACAACTCATATACACAGAATGTGTGTTTAAAATATTTATTTCTCAGTTTGGGTCGAAAACAAATAGAGATCGTCTTATATATATGGGGACGTCTTTCACATAGACAATTTTGTAAAAAAAAAAAAAAAAAAAAAAGCAAAGTTAAAGGAAGACAGTAAATATTAAATAAGTGTAAAGTTGGGTGCAGGCAATCTACTCTATGTGCCAACTGTTTGGAGGACATCTTAATTATGTGCTGGATAAGGGAAAAAGAATCTAAAATATATATCAAGGTGGGGAAAAGACAATCTAAATAATGTGCCAAGTTTAGGGAAGGCATTCTAAGTGGGCAAGCAACTTTATATGTAATTTAGAATTGTTCTCTGCTTCTTGCTCTTCTGACCACCGAGACCACATGCACATTGGGCTGTTGTAGTTTCTCTCATTTTATCTTTTTTATGTTGTTCGCGGTCGACCTTATGCTCTACATTCTTCCTCTCTTTTTTGGTGTATGCCTTGAATGGAATGGCATCACAAGGCATTCTGTATGGGCAAACAACTTGATATGCTGTCTTTATATGTAATTTAGAATTGTTCTTTGCTGATCTTTTCTCTTATGACCTTATTTCTGATGTTAGCTCATCTGGTGACTCCTGCAGCCGTTCTCAGACATCTCATTTTCTTGGTTACTAAATTTCTTTCATGGTTTGTTATGGGTGACCATGTCTGGCACTTGAAGCATTGAGTTGGAATGAATATGCTTTGTATGAGATGTTTCTTTGTGCCGATTGGGATTGTCTTAGGCTGTCAGATCAATAAACAATAAGATATACACACACAAAAAAACACACAGGAGAAAAACAATGATCCAAATATGTTTGTTTATGCATTTAAAATACTACTTGCTAATATGTTATATTGCCACACACATAAAACACACAAACATATGAAAACATTTTTTTAATAATTGTTGATTTTTTTAACAATATTTTGTGTTCAGTACTGGACACTCTATGCCCTTCTTAAATACTAATAACAAAAATGCAGAAAGCCCTGCGTTGTTTGGCACATGGAAATAAATTATCAATTACAGATACATACATTAAGTTATCGAATACTGAATGAAAGCTCTTCATCGTGGACACCACTGATTTTGCTGAACTATCAGCAAGTGTCGTCATAATCATCAAAATTCCAATTAACAGAAGTAAAAGCAGAGATAGTAAGAGCCTTAGCAAATATAGTAGTTATAGCATTAGTAGTATATTAGTAATGACATTTAGAGTTTGTAGTAACAGTATTATTTGTAGTAATAGTAGAAGTAATAGCAGTAATTACAATAGTAGCAGTAATAGCAGTAATTACAATAGTAGCAGTAATAGCAGTAATTAAAATAGTAGCAGTAATAGCGATAATAACAATAGTAGCAAAATTAGTCGTCTTCTTCTTCTTCTTGACGTTTACAGACTGTAAACTCTGAAAGAAAGTTCTGTTTTTCCAGAACTTGAGTTTCTATGCACATCCGTTTAAAAAAAAAAGTTTTTTTAATATGCAAGCTGTTGGTTCCTTGCTTTCAGGACAGATGCATTTTTTATTTGAGAGAAAGATTGCTAGTTAGCCATCTTTTCTGACAGGCTTGTTAGGCAGCAGTGGGTCTACCCCACCCCCTTCCAGAAAAAAGTCTTTTTCTGTGTTATGAGGTGGCACGGGACTCACAAGCTATGGATTTGGCAAGTGTGACTAGCAAGACCCACCTGCATTGAGAAGTCTTCCATAATTAGAGCACAGAATTTGGGGATCATTGTTGTCATCACATGTGTTTAGTGTGTTTCTTCTCAGATCTTCAGCTCTCATTCTTTTTGCAGTCTCCATCAATCCCTTTATGATTTGCCCCCTGCATGCAAAGGCATTTTTGTTTCTGCGAATCTACCTGAATACCTGTATCATTCATGTCCCTCTTGCCTACATCTTCACATTGATTATTATAGCAGCAGTTGTAGTAGCTTTAGATGTCAGCTGTAGAACTAGCAAAGTAAGCAAAGGTCACTTTTCAGTTCATTGTTACATCAAGCATATGACTTTGTAGAGCAGCGCTATTAAACTAAGTGTACCGACGTGCCAAAATTTAGAAAATGAGGAACTTCACGGGCCAGAGGGCTAATCCTTAGCATAGAAAGATTATTAATACAATACAACTGGCAATGATCCGCGGGCCACTTGCTAGGCCTCCATGGGCCAGATTTGGCCCGTGAGTCGCTAGTTGAATAGCCCTGCTGTAGTGTGTTGCAAAAGTGATGTCCTAAAACTTTAATAAATACCCGGAAAACTCCTGCACAGATAAACATAAATGTTTGCTTGTGGCCTTAGATTTCCCATGTCCTTATGATTTTATAATTACAAAGGCACAGGTGCTGCTGTTTTCCTAAAGCAGTAAATTTATTTGATCATTGTTTGACTAATAATTTATACAACCATAACAAAAAATATACAGTAGTTGACACATGCATGAAGACTGGACATCACTTCACATGTGCAGCAATGCTTGGTAATTATTTTTATAGCCTATCTCGCACACAATGAAAAATTGTTCATGTAACTCATGGGAGGCTAATGCAGGTGATGACCACCTGGAAGTGAAGTGCCTATGAAACACGTACTATTTGATTTGGAAATGTTCCCTTTACTCAAGTAACTGTAATCCTGTTGTATTTTTTGCTGTAAAACGGTGTCTGTTTTCATTTACAGTAAACAAGGCAACATAAAAACTAGATGTTTGTTAACATTAAAATAAAATTCTCACAAGGACATGATTATTAACAGGTTGCATACCAAATTTCAACAACTTAAACCAAAGGGTTACTGAGTTACAGATTTAAAAGTTGGGCAAGTCTTTTGGAACTGACTATAGACCCATTATTGTACAGACCAAAAGGAATTCAATGGGTAATGTGGCCATTATAATGCTGACATACTTTACTTTTTTTCAAGGAAAATTCCTGGTGTCCAATTAAGCCCGGGTCAAACTGGTCAGTTACAAATAATTTAACTCATTTTGGATTTGCACGTATGACCTTCAGAAAAAAAAAGGAAGTTAAGAAGAAGAAGAAGAGGAGATAGATGTAGCAGCAGCAAAAGCAGTAGTAGTATTCACATTAGACGTAGTTCTAATAATGGTTAGCAGTAACAGCAGCAGTAATAGTCACAACAGTAGCAGTTGAGAACAAGCAGTATTCCACCTAGAATTAGAATTTCACCTAGTATTAGAATTACTAGTGTGGATATATGTAAATTTGTATACATTTAAATGACATAGTAAAATTTTGTTTAGTGAATGCGTCATTTGTATCAGTTAAATATATTTTTCCTTGCGCTTAAATTCATTTTGTTTACAATAAAACAGAACAAAATATTACATTTTAGGGCGCCTGTATGGGTTACGGGGCCCCATTGTGGGGAAAACAAGAATAGACCCACTGCCTCCCTAAAAGCATGTCGTAAGAGTCGACTAATTGGGGAGCTTCCTTTGAAGTCGGAGTGCATCTGCCGGAGAGGCAAGGAACCAACAGTCTGTATTCAAGAGAATGAGATCTGTAAAACTGATGCACACGCAACACTCAGGTTCTGGAGCAGGACTGCAGTTCAGAAGTGGACGATCAACCAGAACTTTCTGCCAGAGTGTACAGCTGGTGAACGCGACGAAGATTACATTTTAAAATGTTCTTATCATCAGTCAGAAGGTTGTTTACAGAGTGCGCTCTCATCATGGTACACCTGAGAGTCTTATTTATCTCTAGCAAATTCTCCAGCCCTATGTGCTTTCATAGCCAATGCATCTTCAATCTCTTGTATCCTTCTCCATGGAGATCAGCCCCTGACTCATTTTGTGGAAACTGCAGACGCCATCACCACATTTTCCCGGTCACCATGACCTTTAACTTGGCCTAAATACCTCGACTTTCGGTAAAGGTTGCTGTTTACAAGCCAATGGTGAACTAGTAACCAAGGCACAATTAATACGAAATGGGCAAAACTAGAGGGTGTACCACATACAACCAATACCCACTTGAGGCTGGTTTGATCTGGAATCTAGGGTCATTTTTGAAATAAAAATGTAAAAAGTCAGGCTCCATGGCATTCCAGTCCGCAGGTGAGCACTGGTTGCTAAACTATGGCGGCTTCCTTGAGTGTATGTATGTGTGTGTGTGTGTGTGCAAAAACGTATACATGTATTCCCATGTGGACATGTACACGTTTGTGTATATGTATGTGTAATTCTACATGTATATCTTTATATATGTGTATGTATGTTTATATATTATGTGTATATATGTGGTGTATATATGTGGTGTATATATGTGGTGTATATATGTGGTGTATATATGTGGTGTATATATGTGGTGTATATATGTGGTGTATATATGTGGTGTATATATGTGGTGTATATATGTGGTGTATATATGTGGTGTATATATGTGGTGTATATATGTGGTGTATATATGTGGTGTATATATGTGGTGTATACCAGTTCCCTCCCCAACAACCCTGACCAGTTACTAAGTACTGGTCCGAGCCACAAGTTTTGGAGCAATTAATACTTCTTAGCCAACATACTTGGCACAAAGAAACCAGACCATACACCGATACGATACTGCTTGCAGTAGGTTCAACATGGTGGGGTTTTTGTTTGGTTTCTTGGATGGATGGATGGGTGGATGGATGGGTAGATTTATTTATCACGTGATTTTAATAATCGTCACCACTTAATTGTAGGGTGAGCATGTGTCCCATTTTCTCAGGGAAAGTCATTTTTAGGTGTAACAAGGCCGTCCTGTCAGTGCTCCCAAAAAAAAAAAAAAAAAAAAAAAAGGTTAAATTGCCAGTTAAAATTTAGGAATCAACAAGAGAATAGAACAAACGCTTACAGTTATAACTGTACATCTTATCAGATTTAATAGTTTTCAATACTTGTTAATACCTGAAATGTGTTGATGGTAATTTTCATTGCAGCATAGTCCCTCCTCCCCCACACCCCCTCAAAAAAAAGTTAAAGAGCATATTGTTTCATTTATTTCTTGATGACAGTGATTAGGGTTTTAATATCATTTTTGAGCAGACAATTCTTTCACCCCAGTGACCTGGAAAAAAAAAGGTTGAGGTTAAACTGACAGGCCTGGGATGTCCTGTTTTCAGTGCAAAATATTAGAGGGGTATCCTGTTTTCATCTCCAGATATTATGGTCACCCTACTTGATCGTCATTCTTGATTTGTATGTTCATCTTTATTGTTGCTTTAATAATATAACCTCATTAACGAACCCAGTATTTTTATTGCAGTTATTTCCACCTCAGAATGGGACACAGTTTTTGGTAATCATAAACCCCCACTTGGGCTGTTGACAGGGGCCCTAATTTAACCTAACGGTTGAATGGGATTCTTGGGACTCGTACTCAGATAATTCTCATCTTATGCTGCACTATATGCCACTGGGTGTTTATCACTCGGTATGCAGTCCAACTAGGATCAATCAATATCTCTGTTATCACCCCTGTGCTCAGCATACACCATACTGTTTGATTCAGTTATCAGAATTATTGTGGCTTAATCTAATTTTCATTTGCCAGCTTGTTTTTCTTTCTTTTACAATTCATCGCCACACATTATTTACTGGGCTAAAGGCTTTCTCTGTCTCTAATATTTTATTTTGTACCTTACTTTTCAATTTTAAGTTTGCAATTCCAACATTTAAAAAGGTTAAGGATGTGTAATTAAATAAAGATCATTTGTTATTACAAAAATGACATAATTAATTGTTCAAATAAATAATTATAAACATTGTCAGAATCACTGAAATTCCTGTATCACAAACGAACTGTACGCTGGCTGTAATAAAGGCAAGAACTGGAGCTGGCTGTTAGTGACTTTTCCGTTTCCAGGCATTTTTCCAAATGTTACTGAAGCAGACGGTGGAGTGAAAGCGATAGTAGATTCCAAGGGGGACACTGATGTGTGTAAATATGGCCCAAGCTTCTGCTCCATAGAATTCCACCTGTTGGTTAAAAAAAAAATATCTGTAACATTTCTGCCTTTAACAGCAGTGGATGGATTATGATGTCATTTCTTTCTTTAAATAAATTTGTTATTTGTGCCACTGATGGTGTTACTAGGAGTTTTTGGAGTTTATTACTATGTAGAAACTAAGCTGTCTGGGCGTGGTGATTTTGATCACAGGCATTAAGGAAAATGAAGTATGTTGTGTTGTATATAAGGGGATAACCAGCACCTCATCTCAGGCGCCAGCTTTCTCTATGCTAGTTTTACAGAAACTCTTGCAAGACCACAGTGATATGTCTAAATGGTGTGTTTTAGATAATGGCCTCTGTTGGCCTAAACAAAGTTGGCAGGGAATCTTGGAGCTGGTGGAGGAGCCACAGGACCTGCAGTCTCCAGACAATCTCTGGAAATCATCAGTCTAGCCCAAGTATAAGGGTGACAACTAGGGCTGTACCGAATATTAGCTTCGTATTCGCTTCAGGGCCGAATAGTGGACGTATTGACTATTCGGTATTAGGCCAAATAGTTGCGGTCGGGCCGAATACGAATAGTAGTTACCTTACACCCGCTTCTGCATACATGGCCTTAATACTGTCAACATGGAACAATTGGTTTTGTTGAAAGCCAAAGCAGCTTTCATGCATTAACTAAGCTATCAGTGACAATTTCCAAGTTTAGTTACTTGTTATAATACTTGGGATTCTTTCATTCCTAATTATTAGTTACCACAAACTGACTGAAGGATACAAAACATAAAATGTTTTTAAATGTTTACTGTTCTGTATGAATACTAACTAGACATGGAAAGAATATAAACTCTGGCCACATCCAAGTCAGATAATATGAAAATCAAACAAACGGAAACATATAAATACTTGGGGGCAAACTTCAACTGCTCCAACATGCTGAGAGAAGAAATACAATCTAGAATAAAGAAAAAAAAGTAAAGATCCCTTTACACGCCCTTAGGCGCATCGGGCATATGGGAAGAGCACCCATATTTTTACAGACCAATCGGCACTCGGTGGGTAATGTGGTCAGCATTATGCCGACAATCTAGAATGCAATCTAGAAATAAAGTATACTATGCCCTTCAACATCTGCTAAAGTCAAAGTGTCTGTCTCACAACACAAAGATCAAAATATATAAAACGTTCAAAAGACCAGTCATTTTATATGGCTTTGAAACTTGAAGCAGAAATAAAAAAGATGAGGCCTTATTACAGGTTTTCGAAAATAGTCTTACGGCAAATCTTTGGACCCATCAAAGATGCTAACATCGGGGAATGGAGAGTGAGAAGCAACAACGTAACATATAATTTGTTTAAATCACCATTGATCACTGGCATCATGAGAGCTAACAGACCAACATGGTTGGGGCATACTGAAAGAATGTCAGATGACAGAGAAGTAAAACTGTATACACCTGAGAGATGAATGGGCGGAGACCACGAGGCAAACAAAAAAAAGAAGTTCAAGAGATAATGTCCAACCAGATCTTCAAACAACTGGTGTGAAGAAAAGGCCAGCCAGAGAGATGAATGGAGACGAGTGATATCTGCAGCAGTAAACCTCAAGGGCTCAGAATGCTAAAGAAGAAGATGACTATTCTGTGCTACTTTATGTGAAGTAAAGGTTCAGCGTACATTTGACATTATGAATGTTTTTTTTAAAGATATATTTTATACACTATTTGTATTCGTATTCGGCTGAATAGGTGGTCCCGTTATTCGTATTCAGCTGAATAGTGAAAATCACTATTCCGTACAGCCCTAGTGACATCTATGAGGAACTCATTGTGCAAACAGCAAATTTGACAGCCTGATCCTCCTACAAAATGACAACAGTCCAGCTATATTTTGATCAGGAGTCCTAATAAATGGCAACATCCTGTTATATGATACCAAAAAAAAAAAAAAATGATTCAGATTGGCTACAGTTTATCCAAGAGAAAGGACTGATGTTACTTTTCAAAGGATGCCCTGAAAGGCAGTCAGTTGACTCCTACAACATGCTTGTCATGTTCAGAGTATGCTCCGGGGGAGTTCTGGTTTTTGTCCTCTTCTTTAATCCAGAACATGAATTTGAATTCATATCTATTTTACAGGTCTTGCTTATTTTTATGCAGACTGGCCTCTGAGTCTTTTTCTTGTTTTCCACACAATAGGGCCCTGGAACCTACAAAGAATGCAAAACTCAAGTCCTTAAACAAAGCCAAAGTCCAGAAATAGAAGAACAACCAGGACTTTCCGCTGAAGTAAACACAAATAAACACACCTGCTATATCTTTATTGTCTTGTCCCCTAACTGTCAGTTTCAGAACCTCCCCATGCGTGTTCAGGGCCCCACTATGGAGGACAAAAGACTCCCTGTTCCCCCAGCAAGCATGTCACAAAAGGTGTCTAATTAGGGTGTTTTCTTGAAAGATGGGGTGAATCTGCCTCAGAGGTGTCTGCATGAAATTTGTCAGAACTGTAAATGAATGTACACATAAAACTCAAATTCTAGAACAAGTCCAGAAGTGGATGAACAACCAGAACTTTCAGCCAGATTTTACAGCTAGCGAACATAATAGGAGAATAAAAAAAAAAAAAAACCAGCATAACACATTACCTGTACAGGATTATGTTGGGGTGTCTGTGTTTCAAACGTGTTGAGAGCCCACATGGCAAAGTTGGAGATCAGCAGAAAATGTGATAAACTCCCTGCCAGGTTTTTTCCTTGCCTGTAAATATGTCAGAAATTATTTATGAATTTTTTCTTCACACACAAAATTATCATCACTGAAAAAAAAAAAATACAAGAGAAACTGAGGAAATAGTTAACAGTTTTCAAAAAAAAGTTATATTTTTATAAGTTATAATGCAACATGCATGTTTATTAGCAACACCATAAGCATATTAAATTAGGGTGAATAGTTAAATAAAGAATAGTGAAAACACCCCTCCCCCCCAAATCCAAAAAAATAAAAAATAAAGGACCTTACTAGACATACATTCAGTGCTAGAACTATATTTTATAGACCAGTGGGTGATGCAGTCAACATCATAACAGCCAGCTTTACTTCCCAGGACATTACCTGGTACCCATTTAAGGCTGGGTTGACCTGGGAGCCAAGGTCAGCTGTGAAAAAGAAGATACTCCTACCTCACCTCGGGCACCAGATGGCTTTGTGCTGGTTTTATGGATCTTCATGGAAGACTCCTGCCACACGTCCTTGACCAGCTGGTATAGGATCTTGGAGTGGGTGGTCCCAGAGACACAGTGTCCAGAAACCCCAGTCTCCCCCCCTCCTTCCCAATGCAGGGATGATAACACCTTCAGACTACATGCCCCCTTAGAAGATAATATTTTCCTAAGAATACTGTTGATTTCCACCAAGATTTATTATATTTAGTATTATAATCGTTTTAAAATGTAGGCATACTTAGACCAAATTGTTACAAAGATGTTATTGATGATGCCTATTAATATCATCATTATAACTACTATCTGCTAAAACAATGTGTGCATAAATAATGTATGCATGGGGTGAGGCCAGAAGGGCAGAATGTAAGACAGGCCTGTGTGGCCAATTCTTAACCCTTTAAAAATGAAGTTTGTTCGTTCGTTTGTTCGTTCACATCTTGATTCAAACGTCTGTCAGTCAAAAAGTCCTACTAAACTGCTGCAAACAGTCAAGCTCAGCCCTAGACCATGAGATTTGTTTGCAGCAACGACCGATCTCCTGTGGGTGGTATCTCACTGTTCAGCCCTAAAGCATATATCCAACCATGAAATATCCCACTGTGTGACAGAAAAGGTTAAGATTTTCACTTCCACTGGCCTCTCTCGTTGGCATATCGGGACCACATTGGGAAGCCATGCTTGATGCATGATTGACTGGTATTGTCATCCTAGGTGTCCCGATGCAACAACGTTAAAAATGTCTAACAAGCTGAAGGAGATTGTGCTTATTCAAAATCCCTGACCTACGGGCTGCTCCCTGTTGATCTCCAGAGGGTACAGCCAGTGATGAGCAAGAAGCTCAGCATACAGATGTGAGGTTAAGCGGTCATGTGCAGGACATGATGATTCTTTGGATGAGCCCAGGATCAGAGCATCATGTGTCGACTCTGAACTTATGGCAGCCTCCTTGGCTGGTGGGGAATGCCCATGATCTGCCCCTGGCTTCCTTTGAGGGACAACCAGTCTACACATGGTTGCCCTAAATGGTTTGAGGGCCTATGCTCCATTGGGAGACAAAGGGTAGAAGAAGGGGAAAAAGCAGGAAAGGTTAAAATACAGTTACAATTACTGCTGAAATGGAAATGAAAAAGTAATAGTGTTAGTGATAAAAATGATACAAGGTGTTGCAGTTAGATTAAGAAAAGAACAATAAAAATAATGGCTATAGTTTCAAACCACCAGAGTTTAACCTATACCATCATCATCATGTAGCAGGTCCTTTGCAGAACATCGCTCTCTTCACAGTCTGCCTGAAAGAAACTGTCTCTCACCAGCTCTCCCGCCTCATGCACTTTCATATTCAAGAAGTCACTTATATCCTGTGCCCATCTTCGTATTGGTTGGCCCCTGGCCCTCCTTCCTGGCACCATGCCTTCTGCTACTGTTTATTCCAGTCTACCATGGCGCTTGATATGACCCAAATATTTCAGCTTCCAAGATAGAATGGTGTTTAATAGTAAATCTTCCTTGATGTTCAGATATTTTAAAATGTCAGTATTTCTCCTCTCTTTTTTTGTCCATAGTATTCTGTAAATCTTTCTATAGCATTTCAGCTCAAAAGTTCCTATTTTCTTCCTTAAGGACTGGGAGTTAGTGAACGACTCACATAAATACGTTGCTACAGGGAAGATGCATGCTCTCAAACTTTTAATTGGGATTTCCTTGCTGGTGCTTAACCATAGACTTTTAATGCTGTTTAATCTATAGCAAGTGAAGTAAATCAGTTGTAGATTTTATAATTGGAATAAACCAGTGAACCTGCATGTGGTTGGTACAGAATGAGCCTAAAAAATTACTAAAAACAGTCGTGAAAATTGCTATCAAAGAATGATAATTATTTACTAACCTGCATTTCATTGGAAGCTGTCATTCTGTCTCCTGCGAGCATAAAAAGTGTCTGAGTTGTTGACTGGAACAGCATCAACAGGTTTGATAAAATTGTTAGACCAGACGTTGTAGTAGGCTTGCTCAACATGGAGGCTACAAGACTGTTTAAAAAATAAACATATATATTTATATATTGTTGCCCACATCTTTAAATTACAACAGAGGCTGACCTGGTCATTATCCGCCCATCTGTAATTCACGATAGAGGAAATCCTTAGAGACTCTACCATTGTGACATGTAAACTATATAAGTTATATTGTGAGTTCCCCCGTGTGGGTTCCGGGGCCCTATAATAGGGAAAACATGTATAGACCCACTGCCTACCCAAAAAGCATGTAGTAAGAGTCGACTATTCGGGAGCTGCCTTCGAAGTCAAGAGTGCTTGAGAGGCAAGGAACCAAAAGTCTGCATACAAATTAGTCAGATGTTTCAAATGGATGCACACACAACTCTCAGGTTCTGGAACAAAAGTGGACAAACAACCAGAACTTTCCGCCAGAGTTTACAGCTGGTGAACGCAAAGAAGAAGAAAAAGATATTGTGAGTGAATTGCCTACATTTTGAACAAAGAGTTTGTGAGAAAATAAGTGTGTGGCATTACTTCCTAAAGCCCCATCATTTTAAATGATACAGACCAGGCGTGTCAAACTGAGGGTCTGACTAGGGTCATATGGGTCATAACTGTGTCGTCATGAGGGCCACACACGACAAAACTTTGAGGTCCTTTAATAAAAGTCATTGCAGAATATTTTTATTGTGGGCTGCAGGTGTGCTTGCAAGGGTCCCATCTGTGACACACCTGATACGGAGATTAAAAATGCTGATTCAAAAAAAAAACCATACACACATCTCTGGTGTAAAACACAGTATACCAAAGGGGACTTCGGATCAAAATATACGATAGGCATGGTCACTGTTCTTAGTCGTGGCAAATTTTTTGCTTCTGACAGATGGGAGCTGTTGCATTTCCTCCAGCTGTAAAATGAACAAAAATAGTTTTTTTTACCCAGCTACTAAGCTGAGTGCATGGCATGACACTGTGAGCTGCATATTTGACTTGGAATGTTTTTCAACTGTAATCAACGTAGTGTTGAGAACTATAGATTAAGAAAATGGCATGTGGCCTGTTGCCATAGAATTTATGGTGCCTTATATGATTAGTTTTGATTGCGTGTGCAACTGCTGATCTGTTTGTAACTGCTGCCTCTGTTGATGACGAATTGTGTTTCTAATGTCAGACTGTTTGTGTGAGCACTTCTGATGGTTGCCTTAAGCTTTTAATATGTGTGTATGCTAGTGAATATTTTGAAACTGCAGTCCTCATCAATTTTTCCACAAGAAAGGGTGATGGACATTCTGTGTGTTTTTCGCTGGTACAAGAGCGGAGCAATTGTGGGGTGGTCTGTTTGCTGTGAAACTGCAACAAAGGTATCCAAGAACACACTCATAAGTCCTGCAGAACAAAAAATGACACAACATATAGACCAACAGCTCAAAGTATGACAACTTACCTGAAAATGATAAAGGCGAGAAGACCTGTAAATGAGATGAGAACCAGTATGTCCTCCAGATCCACCTCATGGTCAGCATGGAAGGTTAGATCCTTCATCCTGTACGCTGCCAGGAAGAGCGCCACCAGTGTGACTGAGTAGATGATGGTCTCTGACACATGGGCCAGCACGATGCCTGAAGACTAGCACACAAATACAAAAACTGGACTTTATCATGCATTAAACAGTGTAGGTTATTTAACGCCAGCACATAGTGATATGGTAAAAGATTGAACATTAAAGAAAACTGGCACCTAAACATCATCTGAACTTGGAAACTGAAATACTTCAACCATATCAAAAGTTATGATAGACTGGAATAATCAGTAGCAGAGGGCATGGTAGCAGGTAAAATCAGTCAGCCAACAGAGTGCTAAGAGAACTATGTTTCTACATTGGGCTTCAGTCATTCTATCTTTTCTCCAGGCCATGCCAGCTTGGTGGGTAATGAACAGGCAGACAGATTGGCTGGATCTGCACAACTGGGTGGTAAATTGATACATGACAAGGCTGATGTGGTCAAGGCCCTTTGGGAACAAGCAGCAGAAAAAGAAGATTATGGCATGGAGAGAATGAGGCACCTGGGTGTAACCAGAGGGTCTGGCCGGCTCACTACACTCAGAGGAAAGGCAAGACGGACATTTAACTAGACTGTGACCGGTACCATCAGTATTCGAACTCTGCGCTGGCTGCTGAAGATGAGGACGGAACATGCATGGAAATGCCCCAAGTGCAGTGATGTCAATTCTTGACTTAACTCAACATTGCAGTCTTTCTTTTCTGTGCTAATAAAAATTAATGTATTTTTGCAGTTTATTAATATATAATGGTACCTCGGTATACATCCTTAAATCTGTTTCAGATCCTTGGACTTATACCTATGACCAAACATTTTTTTCTACAAGAAATAAAGGGAAAATGATTAATCAATTCCCATGAATACAATACTATTGTTATTTCCTGACATATCATATACTGATGGGGTTGTATAAAATAATTTAAACACTGCTTGATACTAAAATTCATAAATAAAAAAATAGAATAAATAAACCTTACTTTAGCTTGCTGAGAAGAGTCAAGGACCTACTAGGATAGCGCTGAGAAACCAGGAGATGTGATTGTTTGGAGGAGAGTCAAGGACCTACTAGGATAGCGCTGAGAAACCAGGAGAAGTGATTGTTTGGAGGAGAGTCAAGGACCTACTAGGATAGCGCTGAGAAACCAGGAGAAGATGTGATTGTTTGGAGGAGAGTCAAGGACCTACTAGGATAGCGCTGAGAAACCAGGAGAAGATGTGATTGTTTGGAGGAGAGTCAAGGACCTACTAGGATAGTGCTGAGAAACCAGGAGAAGATGTGATTGTTTGGAGGAGAGTCAAGGACCTACTAGGATAGCGCTGAGAAACCAGGAGAAGATGTGATTGTTTGGAGGAGAGTCCCCTTCCAATAAAACTTCAGCAACCTGAAATTCCAGGTGAAGATGTTTTCTTGTTTTCCCTCAGTCCCTCTTTAAAACTACAAAAAAATGAAATTCTGGTGTTTTCTTTCCTTTTTTCCCTCAGTCCCTCTTTAATAATAAAAAACCAAGACATTTATCTGGGCATCTAAACAAGAGGTATACCAGGTTGGACATATTAGACAGGGGACATATTGCAAGGTACCACTGTAGATGTTTTTATTGGTTTTCTGAGACATATAGAACTATTGCTGTCAAATTAGAGTTAAATATTGTAAGTTTAATGCTAGATTTATTTTGACTTCCACACATTTTCTAATACTTTGAAAGCTTCTCATGGTGTCTGCATTTGTAACATAGATCACTTTTCTGTGCTTTATTGGTTTTGTGGAGAGAACTAAATACATTCATGTGAATAAAGAAATGAGGAAAAGACTCTGGCAATGGATAAGTCACACACTGAGAAAATGTGAGAACAGTATAACTAGAATGTCTTTACACTGGAACCCCACAAGGACACATAAATAATGGCAGAGCAAAGTAACACACTGAAAACAGATCAACAGAATGATGGTAAAAATGGGTTAGCTATACGTGACAGCAAAGGAAAGGATGACTTGGCCTAAGTTTGTTGAGGGCCTAGTCCACTCGGGGGTAAAGGCAATTTAAAAAAGAACAGGAAACAATATTGTGGTTCGTGTTCAAGAAAAGTAAATAAATCAGATAAATGTCTGGACAAGACCAGTAATGACAGAATAAGATAAATAAGACGATGATACTGTGGATCCATCTTGGGAAGAAGAACCAGACAGAGAATCTCCTTGTGTGGGTTCTGGGGTCCCATTGTGGGGAAAACAAGAGCAGACCTAATACCTCCCCAACAAGCATGTTGTTGGAGTTAACTAGCTGGGGACTTCCTTTGAAGTCAGAGTGCATCTGCCTGTGAGGGAAGGAACTAGTGGTCTGCATACAAACAAGCCAGATCTGTAAAACAGATGCACATGCACACGCAGGTCTGGAACAAGAAATACAGATGCCTCTCACCTTCATTTCCTCCTTGTGGTTCAGCATGTAGAAGGCAATGATGGAAATGATGGTCCCAACGGTCATAAGAATCCCGAGAAACAAGCCTTTGCTGGAGCTGGTGCAGTCAACACTCATCCTGTGAAGGCGGTCGTCGTCCTCATCTTCAAGGTCTTGCTCGGAATTTCTAGGTGCTTTTGGTTTTGTGCCCACGTTTGTCCACATGACGTACAGGATACCTGGAGAGACCAAGGTTACAGGTGTAAAGGGGTAGACTGAGGTGAGTTATACTAGTGTGAGAGGATGGTTTGATGTTTTGGCATGGTTCATTGATGTAGGTAACCGGTTAAAAATCTACCTAAAGAATTTCATGATCCTTGCCAGTGCTACGGAGTTCGTTCACTGCGCTGAGATTCTTCAGATTCAAGCTTGAGTTAGAAGTAGAACGGAGCACTTATGGATTACCACCCTTGTGCCATAATGTTGGTCCGTTGTTTAAACAGAAACAGGTAAGTGATTTGCTAATGAAGGCAAGTCATTTACTGATTTAGTGAACTTTGTTACTGAAATAGCTAAGTCATATACTGATTAAATGAGGTGGTTTACTGATGTAGGCAAGATGTTTATTGGTTTAGTGAGGTGGTTCACTGATGTACATAAGATGAATACTGATTTAGTGAATCGGGTTACTGATGTAGGCAAGTCATTGACTAATATAGTGAAGTGGGTTACTGGTGTAGGCAAGTCATTGACTAATGTAGTGGCAAGTCATTGACTAATGTAGTGGCAAGTCATTGACTAATGTAGTGGCAAGTCATTGACTAATGTAGTGGCTAAGTCATTGACTAATGTAGGGGCAAGTCATTGACTAATGTAGTGGCAAGTCATTGACTAATGTAGTGGCAAGTCATTGACTAATGTAGTGGCAAGTTATTGACTAATGTAGTGGCAAGTCATTGACTAATGTAGTGGCAAGTCATTGACTAATGTAGTGGCAAGTCATTGACTAATGTAGTGGCAAGTCATTGACTAATGTAGTGGCAAGTCATTGACTAATGTAGTGGTAAGTCATTGACTAAGGTAGTGAATTGGGTTACTGGTTTAGGTAAGTCATTGACTGTTTTAATGAAATGGGTTACTGATTAAGTTAATCACTGACTGACTTAATGAAATGGGTTACTGATGTAGAGAAGTCGTTTACTAATTTAGTGACAAGAGTGTTGAAGACAAATCCTTTACTGCTGTAGAAACATTGTAAATTTAAAAACAAAATTACTCATGTAACTTATTTTTCTCCTCCTTCCTTCTTTCCTTCTTTCTTTTCTCCTCCTTCTCCTTCTTCTTTTCCTTCTCCTTCATCTTCAGCATATTAAGAGGGCTTTTGAACATTGTGGTCTACAGCTAAGCTGAGGCATCTGCACTTTGTGGCCCAACACATCTGATTTAAGCAAATCACCAGTCTTGATATGCTTGTTCAGGAGTAAAGGCTCTATTCTTCTCCTCTATTTAAAACAAGCCCTCAAAACCTACTCAAAGATCTCATTAAACAAAAATTAATACCATACACTCACCAGCACACATCAGGCTGTATTCAATGGTACAGGGGTACAGGTATGTTCCAGACGCCTCCACAGCTTTGCCCATCATGTCCGCCCACTGACAAGAATCATCAAGACTATCATTGCCATGATACATCCTTGGCGCTGCTGAAATTTGATAATCATTAGACTATATCAATTTCTTGCTGTAATCCCTTATTATGATCAGTCTGGTCATAATTATGCAGCAGATCAAGTGGTTTGCCTACTAAGAGAGAATGCCTTTTGATGCTATACCATACAAGGCATACACCAAAAAAGAAAGATAATGAGCAAGGGGTAGACCAAGAACAAGATGGAAAGATAGTATCAGACAAATTCTACACCATGATGATGTGTCTATGGTTAAGTCAGTCAGAAAAGCAAGAAGCAGAACCTTATATCTTCCTTCACACCCGAAGTGGTAAAAGAGGAAGTGAAGAAGTATGAGAAGAATCCTAAATTACGAGGCAAAAAACTTCATTTTCATTGCCCGCATTTACTACTTTAGGGGAAAGAACACATACATGATTAGAGATCCTTGTGATCAAGCAAGGTGGCATACCATGCGCACATGCTCTCTGTTCTTGCTTGTTTAGTGTGATCACTTCAGAGGTTGCCAATAGTCAGTGCCCTATTGATATTTTCATCTGGGTATGTAGGTGTGTTGGGAAATGAACAGGCAGATTGGCTGGTGCAGCATCAGTGAATGGTGACATGATGTATGACAAGCTAGATATGGTTAAGGTCCTTTTGGAGCTAGTCAACAATGTTGAAGAGCTAATAGATAGTGTGCAGAGAATGGTGCACTGAGGAATCAACAGGGGATGTAGCTAACACTCTAACACTGAGTTTTCAGTAGCGTAGTTAGTTGTATGCATTTCGCTTTTTAATGTGTGTATGCATGGATGCATGTATAGATGTGTATGTATGAAATGTATGTGTGTGTGTTTTCTGTTTGTGCATTTATGTCTATGTATGTGTATGCTTGTATATGTATGTAGATGCATGTGTGTATGTATCATGTATGTCTGTATATGAGTTCGCATGTATGAGAACATAGGAGTATGTATACGTGTGTGTGTGAGTGTGTACGATTGTGTACACATGATGTGTGTATGCATTATACTATAATTTATATTTCTTTATTAAATCCATAACATGCATTATTGATAACAGGTATTGGTACTCTGAAAAATGAGTACTTAGAAGGGCCGAATGTCAGACGGGCCTGCGTGCCCAATTTGTAACCCTTTGAAAATAAAGTTTGTTCGTTCGTTGGTTCTACACTCAGAGCAAAGAAAAATGACAAATAATCACTCTGCTACGGTTACCATGAGAACTGGAACTCTTCGCTGGCTGCTGTAGATGAAGTATGCATGGGATGTCTTGAGTGTTCAACTCAGATTAATTTAACTTCGTTAGTATGAATAATTTGTGACTCCATCCCACCATTGCAGGTTGATGCATTCTGAGCCAAGTTTCACGTCTGCTTAAGTTATGATTTATAATGTGCATTTTCTAGTTGGGTTTCTACTTGGCAGAGTGGTAAAGCCATTTGCCTTTAGCTTTAGAGGGCATATGTTTTCAAAACAGACTTTGTCATTCAGTTAATGTGCAATTTGTATTGAGATCATTGTGTGGGTCATTGATGGATCAACAGTCCACAGTTTATGAGATACTCTCAGTAGGTGGTGATCCACTTAAAAGAGAGAGAGAGAGAGAGAGAGAGAGAGGGGGGGGGGGGCGGGAGAGAACAAGCTAGTTGGCACACAATTGACCCCATAAAGTTGATCCTCTCTCCTTTAATCATCTAAAGCATGTTCTCATACTAATGTCACCGATCTCTCATCTTCATCATGTTTTATTCTGATGATCAAATATGGTCATGATTCCTTTCTTTATTTCATTGTTTCTGATCCAGGCTGTTACCAGATGGCTTGACTAATATGAGATTACAAAATCTTGATTTGGATAGTAATTCAACACAGCAAATACCAGGTTAATAAACTCTCTTTGTAAGTTAATTTCTTTTTTAAGACAAATTAATCTAATCTTTTATTTGCCCCTGGTGTTTCCATCATTCCTCTGTAAATGTGGAGGACAAGGAATTATTATGATTGATTTAGTTGTGAGGAAGTCTTCTTCTCTTCTTCTTCTTCTTTCTTCTTCTTCTTCTTCTTCTTCTTCGTGTTCATCAGCTGTAAACTGCAGCAGACAGTTCTGGTTGTTTGTCCATCTCTGGACTTTAGTCTGGTTCCATAACCTTACTGTTGCATGCACATTTGTTTTACAGATCTGACTTAATGCAAATTGCTGGTTCCTTGTCTCTCAGACAGATGTACTTCTACTTTGAAGGAAGCTCCCAGTTAGTTACTCGTATGACATACTTGTTAGGAAGGCAATGGATCTATTCTTGTTTTCCCAACAGTGGGGCACTGGGACCCACACAGGGTGTTGTGAGGAAGTGTAAAGCTATAGTCTTCTTCTTTTCTTCTTCTTCTTCTTCTTCGTTCACCGGCTGTGAATTCTGGCGGAAGGTCGAGGTTGATCGTCCACTTGGACTTTTGGCTTTTACCTGAGTTTTGCATGTACAACCGTTTTACTGGCTTTTGCTTTTCCCTGCCTCACAGGCAGATGTACTGTGACTTCTAGGGAATAAAGCTATAGTAAGAGTGAAGGAAGAAATATTAAACTAAGAAAAGAACACAGAAGTAAATAACAAAACAGAAATTGCACATACCAGCCTGTAACTTTCTCCCTAAACTGACTGTTGTGTTGACTAGGGAATATACCGGATTGTCATCGTGGTAACCAAGATCTTCATGGTCGCCATGAGGGTCTGGAGTGTTGTGGTGGTCACCACCGCTGTGGTCAGGGGCACCTGGTGAGTGATGACCATCCCCTCCGGTGCCATGGTGTCCACCGTGGGCCTGCATGTGAATGACGTGCATGGTCTCCACCACAATGGAGTGAAACCACACACAGATATTTGTGGCACACATGTGCATCAGCCCAAACCTGGCCAGCTTTTTGTAGCGGTGAATGCACATCTGCAAATAAATTATTTTGTCATAAATCTGAAAAATTGTGAAGGTCTCTTGATATTACAAGCTCTTTGTTTCATTTGCTTTTCTTTAAGCGAGTAAAGTTAAAAGTACCTTTTCTATACCCTTAGGCACATTAGGCACACATGGCTAGACCTATATTTTAAAGAAAAATCGGCACTCAATGAGTAATGCAGTCAGCATTACAATAACCGCCTTTACTTCACATGACTCTCCCTGGTACCCATTTCAGACTGGGTCGACATGCTAGCTAAGGCCATTGTTGAAAAATGTCTGGCTGTTTTCTTTCAGTGGGAAGGTTTAACTCTTTCAGTACGAGAAGATTTGGCAGCAAATTACCAAGTGGTACAAAAATTATGAACTCTAAACAGAAATTAAACACAATTAAGGAGTAGCCACTTGGGTACATAAAATTGCAGAGAATGGTTTGACTAAATGTAAAATATAAATAAAAACACATTAATCATTGCCTATGACTCAGAAGGACTATCTCATCACACACAATGTATTGTTTGGGACTGAAAGAGTTAAAGGTCAGTTAGTTCACAAAGATAATAACAAATTTTGACTTCAATGTCATGGCTCCAGAATAAGCATACAAATTGGACTATTCTGATGAAATTATAAAAATACATGCTACATAAATACAGTTGGTCTTCTCTTACCGGGGTAGGTTGCAAATTATACTCAATTAAGTGTATGGTAATAACAGTACCAATAATTATTATTAATGTGTTGTATAAAAGTATGAAATAAAAATACAGTAAAATATCTGAAACAATATGTCAGGTATTTAACAAAAATACTATTAAAAAAACAAAAACACTTTTAAACAGTCCACTAAAAAACTATTGGGCTCAGCACTTTTGACTTTTGCAATGTTTCTTGGGGGTGGAAAGGGGGGCGGGGGGAACTCAAGAGGCATGCGCCCACAGGTTCTAATGCTGCTGAAGGAATTGTAAACCAACCCTTGTGGCCATCTCATAAAGCTGTACAACATTAAACAACATGAATTATCAAGTTCTCTGCTGGCTTTTTTAGGCATAGCTCGTGATGAAAGAGAGGCTCAATGTACGGAAGCAAGGTTAAACAGTCATGAGCAAGAGGTGACTATTCCTTGGGTGAACCCAGTTTCAGAGCACCATGTATTGGCTCTGTATTTATGGAAGCCTCCTTGGGTGGCTGGCAATGCTCATGTTCTGCCCCTGTCTTCTCTTGCCAGCTGACCAGCATTACATGGTTGCTGCGGACACTACCTGTGAAATAAGAAAGACAAGATGACCACACAACAATGAGACTGCAATGTCCCAAGAAAATAAGGCTAACCCAGGCAACACATGCCTGCAAAAGTCAGATGTGTTGGCCGAAAGATGCAAATATCAAGAAAAAGGAGAAGAAGAAGAAGAAGAAGACGCAGAGGAGGATGAAGAAGAAGAAGAAAAAGAAGAAGAAGCCCCTGAGTTCAACACTCTGCCAACAACAACTGTCACTTCTGACTGTTTTACCATTTTATTAGGGCGGTGTAGAGAGCCTGAGAATTTAATCCGCCTGGCTAGCACTGTCACCATGTACTATGAAGCTTAGGATGTTTAATTTTGCCCCCAGGGGTCAAACCCGGCCCTCCCGCATGAGAGCCAGACGTTGTAACCGCTCGGCCAGTCGCTTCTCAAATTTAAGAGAACTTGCAGAGCTTTACACATGATTTTTAAGTTCTCATTACTTACTTAAATTGTTTATATTTTGCTAACGCTACCTTCACTATTCTAATTTTTGTACGACTTACTTTGTTATTTACAAGTACAGTAGTAGCTTTACTTACGTCTCCTATAAAAGTACAAACAGCTTTAGCATGTGATAACAAAATAACCACTTTTGTTACTGTGCCACTAATATAAAGACACAATTATATGGTGCGTGTTCTAAAGTTGGAAAACCAGACTATCTCTATATAAATGTGCAGAGAATGATTGCGACATTAACTATATTAGACAGGTGCGATTTCCATTGTCTTTCTTTTCCAAAAACCTTTGATGAGGGAGAGAGTAGTAGGTGGATTTAGTTGTGGGGGGGGGGGGGGGGTGGAGTGGGGATCAAAGACTATCTCTATATCTGAGCAGACAATGTTTGTATTAGACAGGTGCAATTTCTATTTTCTTTCATTTCCATTTAGCCAAACTATGCCACAGCAACGCGTGGCCGGGTACAGCTAGTTACAACAATAAAAGATTGTACACACTTTAGAGTTCATGAAGATGAAGTAGAGCTGGAAGAAGGTGAAGATCAGGTGTATCACCGGCTTGATGGCCTGGATGGGTTCTGTGCAGGAGCTTGAGGCTGAGACGTAGGCACCAAAGTTGAGGCCACTGTGGATCATTGAGCCAATGCCGAATCCTGGGGTAGGGATGATGATGATGATAAAACAGAACAATTAGTTCACTCATGTAGTCTTTCTAGACCTTCCCTATTTAAGTTACATTCATAGAAGCAACATTTGCTTCTGCATCTTTCTCTCTCTTCTCACTCTTAATTTCACGCAATTGTTTCCTTTCTTCTCTCCTTCCTTTATTTCTATTTTAACATCCCTTTATTACTCCCTGTCTCTCTCTCATGCACGCACACTCACACACACTGTCTTTCCCCCTTCCCATTTGGCATGAATTAAGTGTTCCGCACATTATCTCCCAATTAACTGATCCATACACAGATTATTATTTCACAATCTGCTCACTTTATTATCCCAATTCCTTTAAAACAGCAACCCATTTCCCGCCTCCCCCTTTTCTTTTGGCTTTCTTCACTGAAAAAGTGTCTTACATTGGATTCTTCTTCACACTGAATATAACCATCCACCAAATGCCTATAATCTAATCCACGCTTCCCCCTTCCCTGATTTCAATTAAAATGTTCCCTGTGTGGGTTGCGGGGCCCTATTATAGGGAAAACAAGAATAGACCCACTGCCTATCCAAAGCATGTCGTAAAAGTCGACTAATTGGGGTTTCGTTCGAAGTCGGAGTGACAAGGAACCAACAGTTTGCACACAAATGAGTCAGATCTGTCAAACAGATGCACACGCAACACTCAGGTTCTGGAAAATGACTGCAGCCCAGAAACTGGACAAACAACCATAACTTTCCACCAGAGTTTACAGCTGGTGAGCGCAAAAAAAAATATAAGAATGAAACTCTAGTCCCATGACCTATCCTGGCTAAATATGCCCCCACCCCCATGACCCCTGTCACTTACCCAGCACTCCCAGACGAAGGTAAAACGTCCCTGTGTGGTGGTTAGAATCCAGAGATATCATCTTCTTCCGCTTGCTCTTGCTGTCTGTGTCTCCCCGAGCCCAGGTCTTGCCCCAGGCTCGTGTCCAGGACAGCGATCTGGACAAGGTTCTAGTGAGGAACTCTGTCTTCAGCTGGTTCCGCCTCAACAAGTAAGCGTACACGTAGACCAGGAACACGATGCTGACCACATACAGGTAAATGTAGAAGGCCTGGAAAATGTAAATATGAAGCGATGTTTTCTCCAAGTGAATTCAAAAGATGAGGACATACAAATATACTGCCTTTTTTATTTAATTGTTTCTTGTAAGTTGAGGAGGAGGAGCAGAAAGAGAGGGGAATAGTATGAAGACAGGAAGAGCATGAACAGACTGAAGTAGAAGAAATAAGAAGATGATGATAGAGGAAGGGAAGAAAAAAAAGAGGGGGGGGGGGATGATATCAGAATGAGGAGCAGGAGAATGAGGGAGAAGAATAACAAGATAAAGGAGGAAAAAAAGGGTGGAATATGAGAAGAGTGTGAGAAAGAAAAAGGGGGAAAGGAGAAAGAGTAATTGGAAAAAAAAAGAAGTGACAAAAGAAATAAGAAGAAGGGAGAGGAGAAAGAGAGGAGGAGATATAAACTAAATTGTCTTACCTGAAATGTCCGATCAAGAACATCGCCCATAAATATCTCAGTTATAGGCAGGACTGCCCCCAAGATGACCACAATGATCCCATACAAACCACTGAGCATCATGAACAAGCCTTCTCTGTGGAGTATAATCATACCAGTTAGGTTTATTGTCTTCCCTTTCGTGAATATAATCATGCGAATTAGGTTTATTGTCTCCCCTATACGGGATTTAAACACGCCAATTAGGTTTATTGTCTCACCTATACGGAATATAATCAAGCCAATTAGGTTTATTGTCTCACCTATAAGGGATATAATCAAGCCAATTAGGTTTATTGTCTTCCCCTACATGGATATAATCATGTCAATTAGGTTTATTGTCTTCCCCTACGTGGATATAATCATGTTAATTAGGTTTATTGTCTCCCCTATACGGGATATAATCATGTCAGTTAGGCTTATTGTCTTCCCCTACGTAGATATAATCATACCAGTTAGATTTATTGTCTTTCCCTACGTGGATATAATCATGTTATTTAGGTTTATTGTCTCCCCTATACGGGATATGATCATGTCAGTTGGTTCATTGTCTTCCCCTGCGTGGATATAATCATGCCAATTAGGTTTACTGCCTTCCCCTGCGTGGATAAAATCATGTTATTTAGGTTTATTGTCTCCCCTATACGGGATATAATCATGTCAGTTAGGTTTATTGTCTTCCCCTACGTAGATATAATCATTCCAGTTAGGTTTATGTCTCCCACACATGAGACATAACCAGGCAAATTAGGCTGGTAGGTGCTTTGCTGGAAAAAAAATCGTCACGTTCAACCAGCATCCCCGAAGGAGGAGCTTTAGGTTATAACTGTGGCTAGGTTATGTGCGCCAAATAAAATGGCTTAGCACTGCACGCCACCGAGAGCCCTGGAAAGGACACTTGCAGTGTTGATGAAGGCAGACCCCACATACTATCCTGACCGGTGACGAAGTCGTCTTTCGGCGAGCCAGTGGGTGACCCGGTCGCCGAGGATGTGAGGCAAATTGGATTTATTGCTCTATGAAGCATGATCAGGCAAACAGGTTTGTTGTCTTTTCTATATGAGGCATAATCAGGCAAACAGGTTTGTTGTCTTTTCTATAGGAGGCATAATCAGGCAAATTACATTTAGTCACACTATATGCGGGGGAAAAAAACCGGGAAACTTGGAATAACTGTGTCCCCTGTATGGGGTATAATCAGTTTTGTTGTCTCCATTGTGTGGGGAATTATTACATAAGACATGTTTATTGTCTCCTCTGTGTTTAGTATCATCAGCCAATATGCTTACTGCCATTCATTTATGCAGTATTTTCTCATATAGGTCAACTGTGTATTCTTTGCATGTGTTCGCTGTTTTGCCATTTTACTCGGTAATTTTACGTTGCGGCAGCGGCCCTGGTGAAGGAGTAGGATTCCCGCTTGCGGATTGGTAGTTAGTGGGTTCAAGTCCTTATGAGGGCGAATATTTTCCTCTTAAAAAAATAACCTTGGCTATCAGGTCGACCCAGCCTCAAATGAGTACCGGGTAAAGCGATGGGAAGTATAGGCGGCCGGCGTGATGCTGACCACATCACCCAGCGAGTGCCGACAGTCTATAAAATATAGGTGTAACCTTATATGCCTAAGAAAAGTGTCCTTATTAATTGTACTTTCAGTAGTTTGCCAATGCTTTCTGAACAGTCGCGCTCCACGCCTTGTCGAAATCAACGTTAAATAAGAGTTAAACATGTAAGTGGTAATAATAGGGTTTAAACTGGTGGGAGGAAGAAAAAAAGGGGGAAGAGGGGGGGGGGGAAGGGGGTTAACATAAAGAGCCAAGTGCAGCCTGTCACTCGCAGACTGATTACCTGCGTTAGAGTAAGATATCTAGAGATTATCCGGATCGTGTTTAAACTTACCCTGGTGGCATTGCAACTGATAGCTGCATTACTGATTTAAGGCTCACAGATTAGGAATTAACACTTACATTTTCAGTTTCAAAGAAGTTTGCACAGTATGACCGATGGACACGTGAAAATTATTGCAAAATATCATAAGAGCGTTGTTTTCAAACAAACATTGGTAGTAATCGCCGAGAAAAGGAAAGGGGGAAAAGAAAGGGTGAGGGGGGGGGGGGGGGGGTAATTCTCTGTCCGAAGATGAAAAGTCAAAAGTACATATTAATCGATGTCTGAAAGAATAACGGAAGAGCGCTAACATTCCTTCTTTGAGATTAAACGGATAGAAACCATCACGTTTGGCCAATATTTCCTAAAGTCCTGGCCTGCTCTTCTCCTTTTGCTGTCTATCTTCCTGTGATGGATGAAGGAAGTACCCAAGGACACCCAATATGGCAAATTACATATGGATCGAAGAGGTCAAAGTGGGACTCCACTTGAATATAAAGATGTGCGCAAGTGAAACTTGAATGATAGGTTTGGATTCTTAGGTACAAGATGCCATGGACCGTGTTGCATAGCGGGGCAACAATCGGGAAAGGAACAGGTATAAAGGAAAAAAATGCTTTAACGGTACGATTGCCATATTTCATCTTCCAAAATGAGGACACTTATTTTAATACTAAATTCCATTTAAATGTTGTTCCGTGTAGATTTTTAAATATTCTGATGACCTGATTTTTTTGAGGACGTACTTCTTTTGCATCACATGTCCCTAAAATTGTCTGCATGTGAAATGTTTGAAATTAAATTTTACAGGTGAAATTGAATTGACTAGATACACACTAAGGCGATTTCTGTCATTTGGGCCGTTGGGTGTGGATTAATTAAAGTAGTCTTTCTACCGAAGCATTGTGTGCTGTAATAGCAAAGATGAACTTCTTCCTTCACCTTCTCACAGTAAATTTCGCTACTCACGCAGTTTTCAATAAGTCCCATAGTGTCAATTTTCTCTTGTTTGTAAAATTGCGGATAGATCTACAAATGTCCAGAATTGTTTGCGGACGCTCAGATTTACTTATGAAAAAAGTGTGTATACTCAAAAATGAGGACGTATAACAAACCTACACGATCACAAACACTGAGGTATTGGAAAAAGCCAGCATTACAACAGTCTTCTCAATGCTCAGTCTACAAAGGCTCAGGTGGCTAGGTAACACCTGAAGAATGGAGGATGGCAGACTCCTTAAGGGCATCCTCAATGGTGAATTAAAGATAAGTGTCAAGGCCGACTTCTTCTACGATATAAAGATGTGTGAAAACGGTACATGAATGATACATGCACTGAGGTGGACTTGTGGGAACACAATGTCACGGACCGTGCTGTATTGAAGGGGCACACCAGGAAGGGATAGAGAATGAAGGAAGAAATGATTGCAGAAAGGATGAGAGCTGAGCTTTGGAGAACAAACAGACTAAACCCAAATGCTGACAACAACGGTCCTGAAATCCCATGCTATAATTGTGGAAGACTTTTGTTAATCCTAATCACACTCGTCCTATCGTCATTGGCGGTGAGTCCCATGCCTTCTCATAGCGAGCGCAACATACCACTATCGTCTGGAAAGACAGAAATGTGTGACTCAATCATAGCAACCTTAGGAAATTGATCAACATAAACAACAACACACAGTGAACAAGTAAACAGGTTCGTGCGTGCCTGGTTAGAATTTGCAGCTTAACGTTTGTGATGTGGCAGTGTAATCCCGAATCCTTATTGGCTATTTACGTCATGCAATATATGTTACAGTAATACTCTTACTTCAGGTAATCCTATAATCGCAGATCTAAACTGTATAACAAACAGGTCATCCCAAACGGGTTCCTTTCCTGTACAAACGGAAACCACAAAGAATGTCCATCACTTTCTCTTGTTAAAAAAACGACACAGCCAGTAGTCTCAGCAAATCCAGTAGCATGCACACGTGGTAAATACATAAGGTAGCCGTAAGAAATGCCAACACACACAGACTGACACAAAGAAATGCAGTTCATCGTCGATGAAAGCAGCAGTTACCACAGATCAGTGGTCGCACACGCAATTTTCTTTCCGTTAGCATTAAGGCCACACACGCACACACAAATACTATTTAACCCATGTGGTTAAAAAAGATTACCCCACACCCTCCCCCACAAAAATACCGCACAGAGAAGGAGTTTAGAGTCAAATTAAAAACGTTGGGAGGCTGGCGCCGGTTATGATAAAGTAAACAACATAGGATAGCAAAAAATTAAGACTAGGCTAAAATCAGTTGAGTCCCTATGCTTCATTAGGAAGTAAATATAGAGAAGAGGATGGGGGGGGGGGGGGGGGGCAAAGACGAAATCGAACACAAAGACCCAGGAGGAGGAGGAGAAGAAGAAGGAAAAAAAAAGAAGAAAAAGAAGAAGAAAATGTAAATCTTCTGTACTAACATACCTTAGTTTTGCAGCTTGCATCGCCTTCTTTTGTTCGGCAGACAGTTTGTGACCGCCATGTTCCTCGACATCTAAAAAAAAAAAAAAGGATGGTAATGGAGAATACCGATTTTTAACATGAAAATTAGAATGATTAAACAAATCTAGAAGTTTACTTAAATATATAGTATTTAAATGAAATATATAGAATTGTAGATAATACATATCAGTATATATAAAGTCTTATTGAATAATATGGAATGCAACAGACAGACAGACAGACAGAGAGAAAGAAAGAAAGAAAGAAAGAAAGAAAGAAAGAAAGAAAGAAAGAAAGAAAGAAAGAAAGAAAGAAAGAAAGAAAGAAAGAAAGAAAGAAAGAAAGAAAGAAACTTAGTTCATATTTCATACAACCTAAACAATATTTCAAATCCACGTCGGTATCCATTAAGAAACTGATCAACAATTTACCTTCATAGCACTCAAATGGGCAGGCCATTCTGGCAGGTTTGGGCTGGCCTATAGAAGACCGAGCTTCATCTCCCACGACCGAAGCACTCGAGTTCAAATCGTTTAAGCCCTGAAAGGATTTACATTCAGCTGAATGAAACTGGTCCAGAAACATCCCTCCTGACTTAGTACCGATGAAACAACTGTGCGGGGACTGTGATGCGGAGATCTCCTTCGCCTCTCCAAGCTCAGAAACCAACAAGGTGTGCAGTAAAGACACCGGAACTTCTCATTTGCCTTAAGGCGTACTCGTATTTTGAGAAAACCACATCATGTTTTTTAGCAAAGCACATGTGAACTCTTAACATCAACCCCCTAATCAACATCCAGCAGCGGAACACGCTAAGCTAAGTTGTTACTTGTTACACACCAAAGTAATATTTGATGTAATCGCACCGGGCCCCAATATAACTATTTTATATGGGTAAATGGAGATTCCTGGGATTAGTTCCTGTTTGACTGGCACCCGCAAAGGGTCTGCTTGAGTTGAATGTCAAACCTTCAAGTTACTGTCCCAAAGGGTCCATAAAGCAGCAAGGGGAAATACGGACTGACTAAGCCTAAGTTAGTTGTTTCGCCCAAAAGTTTACGTAGTTCATTGCCAACAGACCGGAAACTAATGCCCAGGGTAAAGGCTGGCAGGTATCGGATTACTACTACAGGTGGTAACTGCCCACCATGTTCTAATTGTTTGTGTAGTAGGGGCCAGTTCGAACACACCTGAACCAGTTTTCTTACGCACTGTACGTCCGGTTTATATTGAGCGAACAGTGTACCCTTTACAGCAGAACGTTGCCGAGCCAAACCACAGCATTTCGTAATATAGCCCTTCGTGTTATCCCCCCCCCCACCCCCTCTTAATTAGGTATTTCTTGTTGACCTTGGTCAGCAATAAAAACTCTACTGTCTTGTCCACCGAGTTTTCTGGTCACAATCTGTGTAGTATTTAGTAAAAGTAAAGCACCCATTTCCACGCTTTCAGGTGTTTTAGGCATTTACGGCTAGACTTATATTTTATAGAACAGTCGGCACTTGGTGGGTGGTGTGGTCGCATCACGCCGGTCGCCTATACTTCATAGGACTTTTTCCTGGTACCCATTTAAGGCTGGGTCTACCTAGAAGCCATGACCTTGGACCCAAAAAAAAAAAAAGTCCAGCAGCTCCATTTGAATTTGAATAAATGACCTTCGGATCCATGGATTAGTGTACAGTCTCTACCCCAAAGTGGTTCTTTGTTGTGTTGAATACTTCGTTGATAGAGCTTTTGTCGAAACGTTCGGTTGTATGGGTACGTGTCTTTTCCTTGCCTCCTTTAAGCTTTCTATTTCCATTTTATGTTGTTTTTAGTAATTCCTTGCACTGTTTGGTTGTTTAAAGTTGTACTAGGCAAACTTGCGCTCGGTAGTTTGCCAATGCGACGAAACGGTTGGCCCTCCAAACAACTGGCGAAACCAGTGCAAAAGCAGTCTGCTGCCACATCGACTGCAGCTGGAATGGAACCTGGTATTACAGAATTACGAAGCGCTTTCGCAACGTCTGAGCCACAGAGGCAAACTGCAAAAGTATAATGTCCCTGTTTGTCATTGTCGCCTGCGCATGTTTGTCTGTTCTGTACCCGCGGGCACTCATGTGTACACACGCACAAGATTATGTTTTTGACAATTTATTTCCTTTTTCTTTCTTTCCCCCTTTCTTCTTTCCTTTATTCACTCATTCATTATTTCTTTCTTTCTATCTTTCTTCCGTCTTTCATTTTTTTTTCGTTGTGGAGGAAAAAGTATGGTACCTTGCAGAACTTGCTTTATGTGAATGAAATATGTCAGCTGCCAGACTCTCTTAGCTCAAAATGTGGACACAAGTAACACAGAGTACAAGAACATATGTCATACAGCTAAATCAACACAGAGCACCCGTGTGTATACACGTACATACAATGGCAGCACTCTAGAGAATATACGGAGTGTTTACTCTCTCTCTACAATCCTTTCTCTGGGCAGTGAATGGCCACGGTTCAGAAAAAAATATCTATGTAGCAGTCAAGCTCTACATGAAGCCCGTAAAGTTGAATTTGTAACATTAACTTTTTCAGTTGTTACTTTAAGTCAGGAGTGGGCAAACTATGGTCGAGGGCCAAAACAGGCTCGCTGAGCAATTTTAACTGGTCCGCGAAGTTGGTGTAAGATTACTATATAATCTGATCCTTGAGCCCACAAAAAAGCAGAACAAATAACCAGCTGGAACAGTTATATTTAGGAATATATAGAAGGGCTTGTGTTGGTTAGTGTGTCTGCCCTGATGAGTAGCAAGAGATTATCCCACAGGTGTCCCCAGTGGTTATAGTCCTTTGGATATATTCTCCAGGTTATACCAGTGTGCTGGGAAACAAACAGATAGATAGACTGGCTGGTTATGCACACTTGGTGTTGAACCGACGCATGCCAAGCTAGATGTTGCAAAGGTCCTTTGGGAACAAGTGAATAGTGCCGCGGCCAAATAGATCATCTGACGCTGCGAGGAGTTAGCAGGGGATCTGGCCAACGCTCAACACTCAAGGGAAAGGGGAGACAGATATACATTCAGACAGTTACTGGTGCCATCGAAGCCAGAACGCTTCGCTTGCTGCTGACGATGGGGACGAAGCATGGGTCCGATGCCGACATCTTCACTCACCAAATGATACATGCAGTTGCAGATCACGGAGAATCATGATCGGCCACGCCAGTCGGCAAGGCACTTGATGATGACTATCCGAAAATGAGCTGCTATATGTTCATAGAGGTCCTGTTTCCATGCCTCTAGGCGCATAGGGCATATAGGGCTAGACCTATATTTTTTTTAAACCAATCGGCACAAGATGGGTGATGTGGTCAGCATCACGCCGACCAAATTTATGTACAGGCAGTTAAAATAACCAAGTGATGTCAAAGAGAATTTGGTAAAACTGGAGACATAGAGTCAGATAATGTATCAGCTGTTGGAGGTAAGGGCGTTCACAGAAGGGTATCCTGCGAGGAAGCCAGATATGTAAAAACGGATGTAGTCGCGGAACTCAAGTTTTGGAACAACACTTAGGTCCAGAAGTGGGCGAAAAACCAGAACTTCCCGCCGGAGATTACAGCTGGGGGAGGCGAAGAAGAGGAAGAAAGCAGTAAATTATACTCTGGTGTTTGACACTGACTTAGTTTGGTTAAGGTGTCAATATCTGTAATGTAAAGATCGTAATAACTAAAACAATGTTGATCAACAGTTGTCAATGTAAAGTGTCGGCGAATGACTGCCGAGTTTACAAAGTAGCGAAATAGCAATTCTCAAAAATTCTTTCTTCTTCTTCCTCTTCTTCTTCATCTGCTGCAAACTTTGGTGGACAGTTTTGATTGTTCGTCCACTTCTGAACTTTTTGTCTTGTTCCAGAACGGACTTTTTTTCGCGCAGAATCTTCTTCTTCTTCGCGTTCACCAGCTGTAAACTTCAGCGGAAAGTTCTGGTTGTTCGTCCACTTCTGTACTGCAGCCGTGTTCGAGAACCTGAGTGTTGCGTGTGCATCCGTTTCACAGATCTGACTCATTTGTATGCAGACTGTTGGTTCCTCGCCTCTTCGGCAGATGCACTCCGACTTTGGGTCTAGTCTTGTTTTCCCTATAAAAGGGCCCCGGAACCCACACTTATGTGCAGATTGTTGTGGTTCCTCGCAAATATAGTTATAATTTGTCATGTCATGAGAAGGAGAACACTGAAGCACATAAAGATGGTTGAAGGGGAGAAGAGGCAGAGGGAGACCAAGAGAAAAGAGGATGGACAGTTTGACATCGGGGCATAAAAGATCGTCTGTGTCAGAATTTATAGAAACTACACAAGACAGAGGGTTGCGGATAGAAATGACTACCAACGCCTCACGGCATGAGCTGTAAAAAGAATATGAATGGGCCAAGAAGGGGATTAAACAACGACATCTTTCATGATCTAAGCATCGAAGAGAATTGGCTCATAAACAGCATCCTGCTGCAAAAGATAAAATATTTTAGCCATGTTAAACGCTTAGCGGTAGCCGCCGTGGAATGGCGGCTAGACTCTTGACTTGCGGATCGGAAGGTCGGGGTTCAAATCCGCATGGTGCCGGATTTTTTTCGAACATGAAAAAAAAAAACCCTGTGGTTTACAGATAGGCTGTTGTCTTTTTCTTCTTGGCGTTCACCGGCTGAAAAATCTGGCCAAAAGCTCTGGTTGTTGCGCCTACTTGTTATAGAACCTGAGTTTTGCGTGCACATTCGTTTTAAATATATGTGTTACATGTATGAAGACTTTTGGTTCCTTGTCTCTTAGATAGATGCGCTCCGACTTCGGAGGAAACACCACTAATTAGTTGACTTTTTACAACACGCAGCTTAGAATCCAGTGGATCTATCCTTGCTCCCAACAGTGGGATCCTGGAACCCACATTGGAAGTTGGGCTGTGATATCGACGCCCTCCTGCTCAACACACCCGATTTCAGCAAATGCTAAACTAGTCGTCTTTTGCACATACATGTTAAGGAGTAGTGGGTCTATGCATCCTCCTTCCCCCTCCCCCGTCCCCTCAAAAAGGACCCCAGAACCCACCCATAGGTGACTGTGACTAAACAAGTAAAGACAATCACTTTGAGGTTTATTCCCCGTGTTGGTTCCGGGGGTCCTGTTACAGGGAAAATAAGAACAGACCCAATGCCTGCTCAAAAACATGTCGTAAGAGTCGACTAATTGGGAGCTTTCTTCGAAGTCGGAGTGCATCTGCCTGAGAGGCAAGGAACCAGCAGTCTGCATACAAATGAGTCAGATGTGTAAAATGGATGCACATGCAACACTCAGGTACTGGAACAGGACTGCAGTCCAAAAGTGGATGAACAGACAGAACTTTCCGCCAGAGGTTACAGTTGGTGAACGCGAAGAAGAAGAAGAAGAAGAAGAAGAAGGTTTATATATTTGACACTGTTCTATATTTAAACCACCAAGACATACACTTGCTACCTTGATGGTGTGCTGACCCCTGGTCATCCTTGTGTCCACCTTCATGGTCCTTCATGCCGTTGGCTGAGTCCTCAACTCCAAACAAGAATGTGGCTATCCTCCCCGTCGGGGTAGACTCCCTCCGATGAATGCTGACTCTACGCATGACGCTATTGAAAAGGCTCAGTTTCCGCTTCCCTGCTTTTGCTTCCTCGCAGCTTCTTTTCATGGCTGATTTGAGAATCTGGAAGTCTGGAACAGACGATGAGATCGACTCGTCCTCGAGACTTCCAGCCGAGGATACTTCGGAATTTGCTGAAGCGTGGCGAGAGGGCCCCGCCTTTTGAGAATGATCCTCGATTGTCTCAGTCCCGGTAGAATTAGCCTGAAAGCTTGAAGGTGACGTGAGTATCTTTGTTTCTTGTTCATAGAAAACGTCAGCATGATTTGGTTCTCTAAGTTGTGTCATTTCTTGATCTTCAACGAGTCTTGAGTAATTGTTATGTCCCATGAATAGTTTCTCTTGGGAACCACAATTTTTTGTGTTTGTGTATATATGATCGACATCTTGGCTATGATGAGGGGTTTCCTGATAGGAAGTGGAGCTCCCATTATGATGATGCTCTGTATCAACGCTGTTGCGCTTCTTCCAAACATCTTCCCCATTTTGGAGGTCTTCGCCAACTCTGTTTTGCTCACGAATCTTCTCTGGCTTCAGTAAAGGTTGGCGAGTTTGGCCGGAGTCGTTAAGATCTTCATCGACCTCCTCGACGACATCGGGTACAACAGGCAACCGTTCGTGGACTGCAGAACTTGCAGGATCAACGTTGATGAACATCTTCGCTTGCCACAGCTCACACTGTCTGAAATGTCTACACAGTATTTAACCGGTGTTCACACACAATGTCAAACCACTGTTTTCCCCCGGAATATTCTGAAGTAGAGGCAAAATTTAACTCTTAAAAAAAAAGCCATTATTTGTTAACCTATTCTAACAAATATACTAGTCCCTATCGTTTTTAGAAGCCACATACAATCACAAAGAACAACAATTCTTCAGAAACAGACTGTGAAACAACACTAGCAATAACGACATATGATATTTCCTCAATCATCTGAAGACAAAAGACCAAGTCACCAATTTGTCCCTTACGAACTGAACGTGGCAGACTCAACAAACACTCACAGAAATTAGCTATGAGCTAAACAGCCCCCTGTCTGTCTTCGTCCTGACAGACTTCAGAACATGTCTTGCAAGACTGCCCTCTCATTGAGGAGCCGGCAAACAACATGTGACCACACCTAGCAGACCTGACAACTAAGCTTTGGATAAACCTAAAAGACCTCATGTTAACAACTCAGTTAATAGCCCATACTGGATTAAACGCATGACCAAAGATCGCTGAAGAAGAAGAAAACTAATTCGACTAGAAGATATTTCTCATCTGTAACTAATTCAATAGTCTGCCGACCCGGTGATCATAGGCTAGATCAATAGCCAGTGTGTTGGATTTAAAACGATCGAGCAGTTTTTAAATATTGGCACTAGAAAGTTTTCGGAGAACTATAAGTAGCTGGCCTTAACTGGGAGTCTAACCCACCTTGAGCTCCCTCCCCCAATAAAGGGTATGGGTCCCCTCCCAAAAATGGGAAGAACGGGGGGGGGGGGGGGGGGGGGATTGTTACTGGGCAGCCCTCCGTCACTGCGGAAAAATTTGCAACGGGGTAAGTGATCCCTCGAACTATGTACAGACAGACGATCTCTGTTTTCTCTCTATTTCATATTATTTCAAAAACTGTATTTTATTGTCGTTCTCCCCGTGTGGGTTCCGGGGCTCCTTTGTCAGGAAAACGAGAACAGACGCATTGCCTACCCCAACAAGCATGTCGTATGAGTCGATTAAGTGGGGAGATTCGAAATATATACGTCCGAAAGGCAAAGAACCAACAGTCTGCATACAAATAAATCAGGTCTATGAAAGGGATGTGCATGCAACACTCAGATACTGGACTAAGACCCGTGTCCAGAGGTGGATGACAACCAAAACTGTCCATCAGAGTTAACAGACGGTGAACGCGAAGACGAAGCAGAAGATTTGCCGTACAACATATAAACAAGTCAAAGCTAAGCACCATTTTCCATGTCTTCGGGCGTTTAGTGCATATAGGGCTAGACCTATACGTACAGCACTAAGGCATGGAACCCCCCCCCCCTCCCCCCTCACGACAGGCAGACCCCTGAACAGATAGAAAGTTGTCGAGGACCCGCGTTGACATTACACGCACAGACCTGTTTTTATTTTAAAAAAGAATGAGCCAAATGAGATGGAATGTTTATGACAGTTGATGTGGAATGCACAAGAAGAATACGGTTTCTGGGGGAAATGAAAGGGACACATAGAGTCGCGGGAAAGGAAAAAAAAAAAGGGGGGGGGGTGGTGATAATGAAACACTCCTGCATCAGGCAGGACAATCAACTGATTACAGAAAATTCATGTAAACATTGAAGAATCTTTTTTTTCGGAAGGGGTGGAAAAAGGGGGGGGGGGCATGTTACTATTGTTACCCCCACTGAAGACAGGCATTTCGGCTTGAATGGCGTGGGCACCCAGAAATGGAAACAGACATCAAGGCAATCTACGGGTAATGAGTAAGTTTAGATTTATACCTACACCGTTATGGGGCTGCTCCTGTGGACTACTGCCAGGAAGGAACAGCGCCAGATTCCGAGCCTCGAAGGGATCCAACCGAAGCTCTGCGCTCTGGATTAAGACACCTGGCCTCAAGAGCAAAGTGTGCAGAGCAAGCTATGGGGAACCATGAAGGACCTGCTACTGACATGCAAGTTTATAGAGGCAACCCACCTGATGGTCTGATATAAGCATACGAAACCGAACGCAAAGAAGAAGAAAGGACATGTTACCGGAAGAAATAAATATAAAAACTCGATGAAAATAAAAGAGCCAGGGAAAGACAGAGAGATAATTACCTGGATGGTTTGGCCAAATTTCGTCGGCGGGAGAAAACACAGAACTGCTAAATAAAGGTAACACGTACACTGTCGGCGTGACAAATAATGATAATCTAGCGCAGTACGAAACCATTTTCAAAGATACAAAACTTGCTCTGCCTTACAAATAATTATGGTGTATACTGGTTACTAAAACTATCAATAAGCCTTCAACCTATAACACACGGGTTTATGTTTACGCTAATTTAACTACAGGCTTTTTGTCACAGAAGTGATCACTGTTCTACTGAAAACTATAGTGTCTACAAACCATTAAATACACTAAAGAGCACAGCAGTGAAAAAAGAAACTTATAACCTACACTGAAAATAAACTTATAACCTACACTGAAAATAAACAGCCTTATTCCTTGTTTGATAAACGGTTATTAAAGCACCAAGGAATCTTCTACGGGACACAAATTCCCCCTAAACAGTTTGAACCAACACGTGGTAGAAACGAGTTTACATATCAAGTCTACAGTGAACGTCTAACACGCCCGCTCCCATACAAATTGCGTGTCTTTTGTAAGCAAAGCAAATACTAATAGAAAAACTACGACCTTGCATAGAGGCCCTGAAGATAAGTATATTAATTCACAAATACGAATGAGATAAATATTCCAGTAAATGCTTCGCACAAGCGAATAAACTTTATGGCGAAAGTAAAAGGTAAACACCGTGTAGGACACTGAAGTCGAATAGACGGGGGGAGGGAAGAATTGACCTTGCCTTTGCCAGGCAGGTCGCTGTGTCAGGGCTGTCCGGGAGATATAGAAAGGACAAATCTTTAGAGCTTTTGGGGTGTATGACCGGATTAAGTAGTCCAGTGGACAACGGTCTTTGAACAGCAACGGACCGGAAACAACAACAGTGGTAACTCAGAGGTAACCAGCCTTTTTAGTCACATAACTTTAAGGCTACATTTAGGGCACTGGAGCGCCTAAGGCTTATCAAACAGCTATAGGGGTGTGCCCAGTAGGTTAATCTGCCGGCCTACTGTTATGTAATGCTAATTCGTGAGGTAATTTTTAACTTCCGAGCAACACACTGTGTGAGTGTTGATAACTTCTCACAAGGCTTTCCTAACTCTGAGCGTCTTCTCTCTTTGCAAGGTTTCTTAGTGTATTCCGGGGCCCCATTTTGGGGGAAGAAAAGCATAGACCCACTGCTTCCCACCCACCAACAAGCGTGTCGTAAAAGGCGAATATTTAGGGATGTTTCATTCGAAGTTGGAGTACATCTGCCTGAGGGCCAAGGAATCAACACTGCATACAAAGAAGCCAGATCTGTGAAAAGGATTTGCACAGAAAACTACATTTCGGGAACAGGACCAAAGTCCAGAAAGAGAAAAATAACCAGAAAATTCCACATGGGTTGACATCAGGTGAACGCTAAGAAGAAGAAAAAGAAAAATAATAATAAAAAGAAGAAGAATAGGTCCAGTTCACGTTCCTCGGCCCATCTACACACTAGCTGATCTTTCATTTATACTTTCTCAGACTCTTCTACGAGGGAGGGGTGTCACGTTGTCTTGCGTCCGATTACATATGCTCCGATGTCGCGCCTTCTATAGTACACGACGACACAACTTTCAACGACGCCAGAACATATAGAACTGGCCCTAACCAAAACCCCCCTTAGCCACAGCCAGAGCCTAGGTCACACAAGAGACTCTTCTCGAAGAAAGCAGTTATGTTATCACAATCGACGTTACTGCACATTCGGCATTCCTATGCATGCTCAGTCCTCTGACGCAGCAGCCACTTCAAGATACTTCTACTAATTGTTCCCACGAGAAGCTGTCTATATTGTCTCCTATCTCGGCCTCGAAGACAGCATAGACGTGCTCCACCATGCTTTACTCCCATGTCACGCAAATCGTGTTAGTGTCAGGGATTCCTTATTATCCACCAGCCCAGTCCGTACAGCGTTGACGATATCTTCTCTGTCAATGCTTCTTCCCATTTGTGTTGGCGCACTACTTGTCAGTTGGTCCGCTCGCTATAACCCTTTACTCCCCCATCTCCAGGTATGTGGATCCAGGTGAGGGAGGTTAAGTGCGATTTTTGAATGCTTTCTAAGCAGTGCCTAGGTCAGACTAAGAAAGTGTGTAGATGGGCCAGGAAACGTGAACAGGTCTGAAGAAGAAGAGGAGGAGAGCAGAAGATGAAGAAGAAGAACCTATTTGGTGCTTCGTTCTTAGGCTATGGTTTAGGAATTGCGAACTCGCTTTGTAATGCCGGGGAACCGGGTTCGACCCCATCTGCAGGCGATTCGTCTTCAACAGTGGCACAGAAAGTTGACTGTTCAGTAAGGAATGGCAAACTACTAAACGTAAAAGTTATCTAGAAAAACCACAACAGTTCTGTAACGTTCTGAATGGTACACATGTGGATTTATGAACTAAT